AATGAAATTGGAAAGAGATAAAACATTATTGTTATGTATGTAGTATGAAATTAGTCATGGTGGCCTGTAGGTTTAAGACACCCGCTTCTCATGCATGGTTTTAATTTCGGCAAGTATCAATGTGTCTTTTTCCGAGTTCTATATACTTTCTAAGATTATTTAGACACCACAGTAAACGGTGAAGGAAAACATCGTGAAGAAACCTAGGCTTATAATTTCTAATTACAAGTTTGAAATCGCCAACCCGCATTGAGCAAGCGTGGTGATTAATACTTAAACTTTTCAGTGTGAGAAGAGGAAGTGTGTATGTAGTAACTAGATACTCTCGCATAGTGAAACAAGTGAATTTATTTCTGCAAATAAGCTACAAGGCAGCACTTTTACGCATCAATTTTATCAAGCGAACGATGAGGGCGACATTTCCTAACTGACTACTCTGAGAAGAAATACCGAAAATCGAGAGAGGCCCATCTCTTTTAAAGTTCTCATAAAAATAACATCATAGTTTTCTTCTTCAAAAGAATAGCGATAAATGATTGGAAATTAATTACTTCATAACTCACTAATGCCAATTATTTGACAATACAGTTAAGACCAGTTTTAAGCTATTTAAAATTAAAACTAAAATATTTACACCTTAAAAAATAATAATAGTAAAAAAAGAAAATTATAAGGCATCAAAGAAAATATTTTCCTCATCGCTACCGTGAGGTAGGGTGCCCAAAAGACTGGCAGCATTGCCACGTTGAATGGCAATGCTTAACCTTTGCCCAAGGTAGTAGCCAGCCCTTCGATCACCTGAAGTGTCAACCATCCTCCTTACAATATCTTTGTAAAGAAGATGTGCACTTGGGCCCCACGGCCCTAAAGTTTCAACCCCAAACGGTTCGAAAGCATAATTGCCAATCAGGCTATTATACTTTCGCCGTTTGAGGTTCTCGGCAGCGGCAGCGGCAGCACCGGCTCGACACGCTAAGCTTGGAAGATGGGATGGTGCCAGAGTATCAACGCAAGTGGCGTCCCATACTAAAGCCCTACCCATCTTCCAAGGGAATAATGACATACCGTCGGGTCTCTTGCCATCGTCGCGTACCAAGCCATTAGGTTCTAAAGTAGCTGGCACGCCAACGGAGGCAAGAGCTCGACGAATTATGTCATTAATACTTGCGTGTCGAGCAAAACGGCCCGCACTACGGCTACATGACAAGCCGTGGTGTCCAAGGCTGTTGACAACTTCACCACAACGACAACGATGAGGTGAACAAAATGAAGCTCCAAGCCTTAAACAAATAAGCCTTCATAACTTAAGTTTTCACGTGAGACGGCCATGCTTTGGCACTGCTGGGCCGGCTCAACCGGAGTGATACCACGGCCGAGCAGAAAACGACGTGAATAAGGTTTTTATAAACATTAACAAAGCTGGCAATGCGCTTGAAGGTCCTCGGGTATCCATGGGTGCCGCTGATCATTTTCCATCAGGTGATCTGTCTGTTTATTCACCCTTCTATCCTATAAAACATCCACTGATGCTCGAAGCAAGAGTTGGAACGAAGTGTTTAAATAGTAAGGGCCTGTGCAAGGAAGTAGAAAATAACGATTGCTTTGTGGTTCGTCGTGTGAGTGAGGTTACCGAAAACCCCCACCACTACGCCAATCTCCCCAATCCCTGAATCCCCAACAATCCTCAAATTCCTAATCCCAAAAGGCCGGGAACGCACTTTTTATTTAATAGGGAGACAAGCCCGCCACAACCTCCCAAAACCACTGCAACTCCTGTAAGTAATCTACAGTAGATACAACCATGAAAACACCGGAACATTGAAGTCCGGCGCGTCCCAGGGACATGAGTAACTGTCTTGGTTCCCGCAAAGAAGTGAATCCGAAGATATTATAAGAGGAGAAGAAGAAAAACCGGTAACGCACTTGTAACACCTCTGGTGTTCCAGGTGTCCATAGGCGACGCCGATTGGTTACCATTCGGTGATCCGTCAGCTCGTTTACCGGCTTATCCCATAAAAATATTTCAATTTTCTTAAATATTGTTGTTCATGTCGATGGGACGGGACTGGGACGTTGGACTTCAGTGTTCCGGTGTTTGCATGGTTGTATCTACTGTAGATCCTGGTGCACAGGAGTTGCAGCGGTTTTGGGAGGTTGTGAAGGACTTGTCAGTGTCCCAATAAGAAAAGTCAGTAAGAGCCTGACACTCCATCACACCTCATCCAGATCAGGAGGGGTCATTTAAAGATTTTTCACCAAAAAATACGATAATTGGCAAAAAGAAATAATTGTAAATACATATTAGGTATCGGTATACCTAATATGTATTTACAATTATTAATACCAATAATTAATACCAATAGTGATTGAAAAAGAGTAACCTATGGAGTTTCTTGCTCGTTCTTCTCCATAGGAATCTACACCTTGGAATGAGCAAATAGCTTCACTTTTATTTTTCTTAACGTTCAAAAGTGTCTTCCAGGGGGCTTTTTAAATCCAATTCCGAACGATCGACATTTGTATTGTGAAATTTCGTATATATTATAAATTTTGTAATACTAGCGCCCATTGCATCCGTATTGCGTGGATATTGAATGTGTTGAGTTTGGCTTTATATTCCGTACTCTGAATGCTATTTGAATAGCTATGATAGGGGTTGTATTGTTTTGACATTGAATAATTATTGAGATTTTATTGAATGGAAATTGCATTGACATTGAGATTGGTTTCAAGAGTAAGCAACCCAGGTCTAATTACCCACTTCGTTTTTTAGTCAAATTTCCGTGGTGCTTGGCGACTGGGCTTCACCCAGTTGTACAGTCTCTTCTTTGTGCCTCTAGGCTTAATTCATTCTGTCTCCTGCAGTAATTCACCGAGGGAAGTGGAAACTATAGTTTTTTCTTCTTCTCCTCTTATAATATCTTCTGATTCACTTCGTTGCCGGAACCAAGACAGTTACTCATGTCCCTGGGACGCGCCGGACTTCAGTGTTCCGGTGTTTTCATGGTTGTATCTACTGTAGATCCTGGTGTACAGGAGTTGCAGCGGTTTCGGGAGGTTGTGGCGAGCTTGTCCCATTAAAAAAAACCCAGGTCTAATTGAAATAAATGGTTTTGAATATTGTTAGCAGTAAAATTAAACTACAATTCAATTCAATGATTAATTTATTTATCTATACGTAGACTATATAGTTATAATATTTCGCGGTAAACGACGGTCCTATTGTGTTTTGTGCGTGACTCATATCTAGGTACTTATGATAACGATAACAGGTGATAATACTGATAAAGTACAGCAGACATCTTGGATTTTAGTGCTTGATGTACAACGAAGCGCAGTTAATGTGTTAAAGTCATTTGTATATTAAAAAATTAGTGTTTAATGTTCTAATTTACAAAAGAGGGCGAGAAAGAAGGTAATTTTTTGGTAATTTATTTTTTTCTACGTTTTCTGTGCTCGCTACGTTTGTGTGGTAAAAAAATTAAGTTGTGTTTGTTAATCCAGGTCATTATCTATCTTGTGTGTGATATTTTATCAAACTTTGTTCTATAGATTTGTGTGAAACTGAAACGATATACGTCACCAAACCCCGTTTACTCTTACGAATAAATTTTGAGTAAATATTTCAATGTTGTGGAGTTTTAGAAGGAGTATAATGTAAGAAAAGAAAAGTGTATTGTGAAATCACAGTGAAATGTGTTACTAAGTGCAACAAGATAACATAACATCACGCCTTTTATCCCCGAAGGGGTAGGCAGAGGTGTATGTACATTATGCAACTGTACACACGCAGAGGTGAACACAGAAGTAACATCCACTTTTCACTATTTATGTTATGAGTCCCATGTAATAGGGGGTGAGCCTATTGCCATATGCCGGGCACGATTCGAGACTCCGTGCTACTACTGAGAATTTATAGAAACCCAGTAGTACTTTGCCCAATCCGGGTATCGAACCCGAGAACCCTTGACCGGCGCACTTGCGACCACTCGGCCAACGAGGCAGTCAAAGTGGGAAAAATTCACTGGTTTCGTTTTTAATATTTATAATGCGCCTTTGTGCAATACTTATTTATCTGCTTGGTAATAAATAGAAGTGGAGTATAAATAAAGAAATCAAAGACTGCCTCGTTGGCCGAGTGGTCGCAAGTGCGACTGCCGGGCAAGGAATCTCGATTCCTAGGTCGGACAAAGTATTACTGGGATTTAAACAAATCTCAGTAGTAGCAAAGAATCTGGAATCGTGCCCGGTGTATGGTAATAGACTCACCCCCTATTACATGGGACTCATAACATAGTGAAAAGTGGGTGTTACACTGTACAGTGGCATTAAGTGCCGTAATGTGCACCTCTGCCTATACCTTATGTTAAGTAAACTTTACAATGATTCCCAATAATGTATTTAATCCTAAAATAGTACTTTACTATTTCCATTCTGTGAATAGAAATGTGTACTAGGTTATCTGACAGATAACGTATCAGATACAGTCGAAATAACTAATGTTCTGACATGTTCCAATGATAAATTCTGAGAAACATACTCCGGACAGTCAACCTACATCCTTGTTGACTGGACATCTACACTACATGAGCTGCTGTTTACATGTGAACATTAGCTCATGACGATACCTAAGTACGTGTGTCGCCTGGACTGTCAACCTCGCTACATCCTTGTTGACTGGACATCTACACTACATGAGCTGCTGTTTACATGTGAACATTAGCTCATGACGATACCTAAGTACGTGTGTCGCCTGGACTGTCAACCTCGCTACATCCTTGTTGACTGGACATCTACACTACATGAGCTGCTGTTTACATGTGAACAGTAAACTAATGGGAGAAAATAAATTCTACATATTTTTTCTAAAATTAAACATTGGTCGGATTTGACTGAAACTACCGATTGTGTTGTTTTTATCTTTAAGATTGTACGATAAAGTATCGGTAACGTCTAATAACAGTTTGTCATTGATATTTTTATATTATTTCGCAGGAAACATGGGTGTGCGCATGCTAGCGTGCGTCATTTTGGGTTTTCTTGCAGTTGCAATAAACTGTGATGAAGGTAAATATCGCCATCTATTGTCGAATAGCTGCAACTTTGTATAACAATTTTAAAAGTTGGCATATTATATTAACATAATTTTGTTATTTAAAATAATGTCTTAACAAACGATAACATCCAATTAAAACAATTGATAAAGTAACACTTTAGTTATACTGAACGTTGTTCGTAATGTTATGACTGAAATTTGATACAACGCCATCTAGTGTGGAGTAGCGGTACTAACAGTAAAAATGTTTTCAGCACCAAACATTACAGCAGATGCTACTACAATCACAACTACAAGAAAACCAATCCCTTACCAGGACTCAAATATTTGCAAGCTATGCAAATGTGAGGATACTAAAGTAAATTGCTATGATCAAAGCATTACCACTTTCTTCACTCTAAATGAATGGGAAGGTAAGAAAGACAGTCAAATACATTTTCACATTAATATTTATTAGCAGTAAAGTCGAAAACAGCTTGAAGAAAGACATTTGGGTTGCAGTTACTTATACGTGCCTCCATGAGCTCATTACCCAATTTTGAATTTACAATTACTAAACAGCATAACAGGACTAATATGCAACAAACAAAAACACCGTGAAATCTATTTCGTTTTCGTCCCGAAGTAAAATGGTTCTGTCTCGGTAATACAATAGTTTTACAAAGAAATTAAATGTTTGAAACAAAAAGTAACTGGTGAACCATTGCAAAAAGCAAACTTCGAAAGCGCATACATACTCATAGTACATTATCAAAACACCACGCCATGTAATTCTCGAAGAGTTATTTCTCGTCGGATGGCACGTGCGATGCGATTGTACTTAGATACAAAACGTCTAGTGCGCGTATTTCCACAGAAATTTGTTTTTAACCCAAAAAATGACGTCTTTATTAATTTTTATACATAAAGAAAGAAAAGAAAGAAAAAGCATTTATTTGGCAAATGGCACACAAACAAAGATTATGAAAAATAAAAATAACAGATACTTACATAATATTAATAACAAACTTAAAAGCGTAAAGAAAAGAACAAAAATCATCAAATATAACAAAATAATGTACATACAATACAAAACCATACAATAAGTTTTTGATATAAGGAGAAATTAAATATACAAAAAACAAAATATTAACAATATATATGCAATATTGTAGTTCGTGTGCATATGCCAAAAGGGCCTCCACCTCAGCATATAGTTGAGCATTCCTGCCCAACGCACGGACAGCGGTACCGCCCCTCAATAAGGAAAGGAAAATAAATTTAAATATGAAATTATATAGATAAAATAAATTCTGCAGAATATGTGTGTGTGTACATACATCGAAGGTACTTTTATAGTTGTTTTGCTGTGGGACGCAAACGAAACAGTTTCACGGTGTTTAACAGTCTTTGCCCAAATCTCCACGCAAGGCAGGCGAAAACTAACCGCAATCTCTTTCAATTTCAGATATAATCGACCTCAAGCCATCGACGGTAGACTTGAGCGAGAATCGATTCACAAACATCACAGTGATCGCAGATTTGACGATAGAAGTGTTAAATTTGTCACGATGCAGTATTGAATTCATACAAAGTGGAAGTTTTAGAGATTTGCAAGAAATGAGAGTTCTTGATTTGAGTCATAATAAGCTCACCACAGACAAATTGAGCCCACACGCTTTCGAGGTACCGTGGAACACTATCATAGTATTTGTTTTGTGTTATATTAAATTTTTGAGGCTAATTATCAAGCAAGGCTATTTAGTTTTGTTTTATTTCTATCGTTGAAATGCCTCGTTATGTATTTCTGTTGAGTCTTAAATATCGAATCGGGGGAAAATCATCGAATGACTGCTCCCGCCTGGGTGAGGCGGAAGGGAGTGTCAGACTCTTACTGACTAAAAACCACCCCGTTCCTTCTCCTGCACGTCGAGCCGGAGCCCCGGTTACCCGTTAGGTTCTCCGCGACTCCGAATCGGCATCGGCCCTAATGAGCCCCATCTGTGGTGGTCTGATGGCTCTTTGAGGCGCGCGCGGAACGCGACGCGCCGTATGCTCGGGTCTGTTTCTGGTCGGACGGGGAGCCACCCATGCTCGCCGTCCGCAGGCCCGCGCTTACGGTGGCCGGAGATCGTCCCGCGATCCCCGACGCCCGGTGTGTCCTTCGCGATGGCTGGGTTGCGAGGAGGCAGTGCTTCGCTGCCTCGCGCGTCCCGCCTCCTCCTTAGCCAGCATGACTGCTTCGCAAAAGGAGGAGACGGCATCCCAGTCCCCCTTGCTCCGCATCATGGCCTGCACTAGGCCCGGACGCGAGAGGTCGCCATCGCTGATCACTTCCCTGAGGGCACGGCGGTGCTCAGCCCACGCAGGGCATTCCGCAACGGTGTGTTCCACCGTGTCTTCAGGGACCTTGTACATACATTAGTGTTTGCATGAAGTCTTTTAAAATAAAAATAAAATATATGCAAGGGATTCGATTCGATCGGGCGAGTAATAATAAGACAGCGAAGAATTTACGTTTATGTCTGTCTAGTGTATACCAATTTGTATCGATGAATGGAGATTCTTGCTCATTCTTTTCCATTCGAATTTTGAACCAGCACCTAGCTTCTGACGGACATACTGACAGACTATTTATTAATCTATATTTTTAACGTTTCAAAAGTACTAATATATGGTTTAATTGAAAATTAATGCTTTGACCTTGACTTTATCAGTTGTAATTGAAATACCTCTATATAATGACTCTGACTTCATCAGTTATGTTGCCAATATGGGCCTTATAATTATCATGATGATTAACCCTTTAACTTAACTGCCAAGGTTAAAATTGTAAAATACAAAGCTCCACTAGCGTCAGGCACCGGTGACTGAGGTGGCATTCTAAAGGTTAAACATGCTGCTCTTAGTGAGAATTTTGAAACCCGAAAACATCTATCAGTAACAGTCTAACCTAAGCTTCTGTAATTAATTTCATAAGATCAATAGTGGTGTTTCGAAGTAAAATAAGGACTATTAAGCTAACGTAGATAGTAAAACAGCTTTGATTACTAATAACTAAACTAATCTATAATAATCTGTACTAATATTCGTTTACCAAGTGGTCACATATCGGATGCCGCGGAGGACTTAACGGGTTACCGTGGCTCCGGCTCGGAGGGCAGGAGTAGGAACGGGGTGGTTTTTAGTCAGTAAGAGTCTGACACTCCCTCCCGCCTCACCCAGGCGGGAGAAGTCTTTCGATGATTATCCCCCCTTAAAAAAAGTGGTCACATATGCGAATGCCGAGCAAGGGGTTTGACTCCCAGATTGGACAAAGCATTGTTGTTGTCATATCGAATTTTATAAAAAAATAATATGTGGTGTGCTGTGGAGTCTAGAATGGTGGAACTGACAATTGGCTCACCCTTTATTACATGGGACTTATAACATAAATAGTGAAAAGTGAGTGTTACATTGTATGTGTGCACTTCAGTTTAACACTTCGGGGATTAAAATATATCTCATCGTCACCATCAGCCTATAAGTAGCCACTGCTGACCTAAGGCCTCTTCTCAGGTTTGAGCATTAATCACCACGCTTGCTCCTTTGCTTTATGTAATTACTTTTTCATTGGTTAACTCGTCGAGTACCGGTTTTATAGACACAATTAAAGAACAATAGGTCGCGGTCACCGGTGACCGCTTGGTGTTTGACAGTTTAAGCCGGTAAACGAGACGGATCACCTGATCGTAAGCAATCGGCGTCGCCGGCACCCGAAACAAGGGAGGTGTTACAAGTGCGTTACCAGCTTTTTAGGGGTTTGGAATTTGATGATTGTTGGGAATTTAGGGATTGAGGAGATTGAGAGTAATGGGCCTCCGGTAACCTCACTCAGACGACGAAATATAGCGTAACGTTACCTCACGTTGGTTATGTGCTCGTCCCGTCGGCCGTAGTATCACTCCGGTCGAGCCGGCCTACTCTTGCCGAAGCATAGCTATCCCACACTTCCCACATTTTATCTAGTTATGTAGTTACCTTATCTCTGATAATGATAGATAATATCATAAATATCTACTAACCTTTGCATCCATGGAAACTTTATAAAACAAAGTCTATTAGTAGTAAAAACATAGATAAAAAATCAATGAACGAATGAAACCAAAATGTGGTAATTACATAACATAACATCACGCTTTTAATCCCCGAAGGGATTTTTTTAAGAGAGAATATCATCGAATGACTGCTCCCGCCTGGGTGAGACGGGAGGTCAGACTCTTACTGACTAAAAACCAACCCGTTCCTTCTCCTGCGCTTCGAGCCGGAACCCCGGTAACCCGTTAAGTCCTCCGCAGCATCCCCGAAGGGATAGGAAGAGGTGCACATTACGGCACTTAATGCCACTGTACAACGTAACACTCACTTTTCACTATTTATGTTATGAGTCCCATGTTATAGGGGGTGAGACTATTGCCATATACCGGGCACAATTCCAAACTCCGTGCTACTACTGAGAATTTTAGTAATTTTAGGTTAAAAATCCCCTGCCATTCTTTTCGGAAACTGTTTTGGGAGCAACCAATTATCGTGTAACGCACAAAATAAATCTTCTTCAATGTAATATACAAAGTTGAGGAGTTTGTTTGTTTGAACGCAATCTACGGAGCTATTGGTCCGGATTACATTTTTAGTTTTGTCCATTTATTGAGAAGACCATTTATTGATGTTTTATATTTATAAAATATTAGCTTCCGCCTGCGACTTCGTACGCGCAATCCCGTTTTCTTCCGTTCCCTTAAGATTTTCAGGATTTTTTTCTCGCTCTCATTGTGAGCGGAGCGTAACGCAGTTTCTTGAAGTGTCACCGGGCAAACCAATTTATAAGACGTTGTCACGTCAAAATTTGCACACTAATTGTTGAATATTAGGTTAGGTTAAGTTTTCTTTTTTCACGATCTTAAGATTATATGTTAGGTTAGGTTAAGATTTTGTTGCACTCGAAGAATTATTACATTTACTTTTAGTTAAAAGATAGTCATTCAGTAAAACAGTTAAGCTTTAAATATCAAACAGTATAGTATAATTGATTTATTTCATAAGCAAATTAAGTGTGGAATTCAGTATTTTTAACCGACTTCAAAAAAATGAGGAGGTTATACGTTCGGCCGGTATGTTGCTTTTTTTTTTTTTTTTTTGTATGTATGTACGCGCATAACTCTGAGATGCGTGAAGCGATTTGCAAAATTTTTGTTTTGTTGGAAAGGGTATACTCCCAAGATGGTCCCATTTCCATGAGGTCAGGATCTGATGATGGGATCATAGGGAAACCGAGGGGAACTTTCGAAAATTATATGGGCGAGTGATGCGTCTATTATGTTTTTCAATTAGGATTTTTAAATACTGCAATTTGATAAGGGTCTGGAGTCGACCTGATGATGGAGCCGATAGACAGTCAAGGGAACTCCTCAGCGGTTTATACTAACTACCTTGTGTTTGGGCTTGATTAATTTGTATTGATGAGGACTTAACACCTAGATACAGTGGGGCTGTCATTAAGGGTCTGATGAAGAAGTGTATTGTTAAGGGAACTCCTCAACGGTATACTGTAACTACCTTGTGTTTGGGCTTGTATAATTTGTATTGATTAGAACTTTGCACCTATGTAGATTATAAGTAACAAAACGGGTATATGTAGCTTTACACTGAAAATGATAAAATAATAAAATAAAAACTGCGTTTAAAAAACCGACTTCAAAAAACCAAAAACTAATAACAAACAAAAAGTCTAAACTAAAAAGCAAAAAATAACTATTATTAGTACTGATAGGTTACCCACCCACTGATAGGTTAGAAGTCGGTGCCATAAGCTCATATCATAATGATATAACTGTCCACAAAATTGTGAATTAGGTACCTATTAAGGTTTTAATGAATAATTTTGTATGGAACTTATGGCACCGACTTCTTACCTATCAGTGGGTGGGTAACCTATCAGTACTAATAATAGTTATTTTTTGCTTTTTAGTTTAGACTTTTTGTTTGTTATTAGTTTTTGGTTTTTTGAAGTCGGTTTTTTAATTGGTGGTAATTTCGAATATTTTGATAGAAAAAATCCCTTTTTTCAATCAATTTACAGTTAAAGTATTAAATACCACCCAATTAAAACTCTGAGCTCTGTACTAGGGAAATACCTGTATCACAGAGATCAGTGTCTTCATGTATTCGTATCATTGTGAGCCTAGTATAGACTTTACATAATAAATAAAATTAGATTAAGATTAACAAAAAGCGAACCAATAAGACATCTAGTGTCGAGTAGCGCAAATTAAATAAACAAAATGGGATGAAAAATAAATGGTAATTATTTATGTGGTGTGAGTGAGTGTGTTTGTGAGAGTGTGTGAAAGTGTGTGTGTGGTGAAAGTGTATGTGTTAGAGTATGAATTTGTTTGAACGTAACACGTGACTGCAAGAATTATAAGTACCTAAAGAAATTTAAAAAATTGACATAAATCAGACCGAGCCCTTATTAGCGTGCAGGGTTAACCCTCAGTATTATAAGACATGATGGAATAACATTTCCTTTTTTATTTCCAGGGTCGTTTTGCTCCCGAAGAATATGAACCCCTTGCATCGATGAGAATACTGAACTTGGCCTACAACGATCTTCACTCATTGAACCAAGACTTATTCGAACACATGCCAGAGTTAGAAGAACTGGATTTGAGTGGAAATCCCTTGACAACCATAGACCATGTTACATTGGTCGCTATTTCCAGTCTGCCGATGTTGAAGGTTAGTGACATCTAGTGTCGAGTAGCGCAAAATATATTTTTTTACATTTTATATAAAAAAATATATAATTTAAACTACATTCGACTACCAAAAAAAAAATTGTAATATTGAATGCGAAATGTCTTTTTGCAACTTAAATTTCTGGTTTCATTTAAATTAATTTACAATGAAAATATTATAGTTCCAGCTACCCAACAACAGATGGCGTTGCTCTTACATTTTTTATTATTACAGGTTTTAAGATTGCGTTCTTGTGAATTGGATGAGATTCCAAGCAAATTCCTGCATACCCCACGTTTTTTGGAGAACTTGGACCTCAGTGACAACAAACTGACGATTGTCCCACGAGAATTAGAGGAGGCTAAAGACTTGATCTATTTGAATTTGAACCAGAATCCTATTGAGGTTATCGATTTCTACTCTGAGGACAATCCGTAAGTATCTATAAGTTGCTTTGATATAATATTATTACCCTCTAGTACGCCAGTATGTGAGACATTGTGTCTTCTATTGTGTCTAGATCGTAGAACTGCGCTTCGGCCTAAGGTCATCGTACACAGCACATCTCCAGAACGGCGTTTTTTTGCTTTATAAACAACTAGCTTTTACCCGCGGCTTCGCTCGCAAAAGGATAAAAAGTAGCCTATGTGACTATCCATCCGTTCAACTACCTTCAGTTAAAAAATCACGTTAATTAGTACCTCCGTTCTGCCGTTTAAGACAGGCAAACAAACGAATAGCTTTCCGCTCGCGTGGAATTCGGTTATGTCGCGCTATTTATTTAGATTTTTCCAATAAGTAGGTAATTCGTTGACTGGTTTTAAAAGACATACAATACATACAGCGCCATCTATACCAATATTTTGGTTTTTCCTAGGAAATATCATTTTTTCCGGGTTAAAAAGTACCTTATTATTTAATCCAGACTTCTAACTTTACTTCCTTCATTTACTTCCTACAGTCTTCACGCCGTAACTACTAGACCGATTGCTTTGAAATTTTGCAGAGGTAAAGTTAGAAGTCCGGATTAAATAATAGGCTACTTATTATACTGGAAAAATTTGATATTCCCGAGGGAAAACCAAAGTATTGGTATAGATGGCGCTGTGTGTATTGGTATATGTCACATAGGCTACTTTTTATCCTTTTGTGACGCGAGCGAAGCTGCGGGTAAAAGCTAGTACTCATACTAATTTCATTTTCTGATCCCCAGCGGCTTCCCCCGTCTTCATAAACTGCAGGAACTCCACATGTGCAACATGCCGAAATTAAGGAGCATTGGACCAAAGGCACTGGCCGGACTTGAGAGCGTTGAGAAACTTCACATAAGCTTCAATCCATCATTGAGCTATTTGGACCCCAAGGCACTGGCTAGGCCTGACGATATTGGGGAAAGCTTCGACTGGCCTTTGGTGAAGGAGGTATGTCATCTTTTTTACACAATCATCAACATAATAAGTGGCCACTGCTGAGCAAAGGCCTCTTCTGACACGGAGAAAGTTTCAGTATTAATCGCCATGTTTGCTCAATGCTGGTTGGCGATTTCAATTAGAAATTATAAGACCAGGGTGCTTACTCTTGAAACCAATCTCAATGTCAATGCAATTTCAATCCAATAAAATCTCAATAATTATTCAACACTATACAACCACAATCGTAGCTGTTAAAGTAGCATTCAGAGTACGGAATATAAAGCCAAACTCAATACCTTTTAGTTCATTAAATATCCACGCAATACAGATGCAATGGACACTAATGTTGCAACTCAAGAGTATGAAATTTCACAATGTCAATGTCGATCGATCGGAATTGGATTCAAGAGTAAGCCCACCGGTTTCCTCACAGTCTATTCCTTCACCGTTTGTCAGTGGTGTCTAAATAATCTTTGAAAATACATAATAAGTATGTAACTTTACAACACTTAATGTAATCGTTTCCACAACTATCTTCATTATGGATATCAAATGAAAGGGCTTGAAGTAGAATAGAGCTCATTGAAACAGTCTAACATATGAAGATTTTTTTATAATTGTCTACTTCTAAGACCTCCTCATATTCATATTTTCCAGCTTTACCTGAAATCAAACAACTTAACCGAGGTGGACACTCGTCTCCTGTCCCGCTGGGATCTGCTGGAGAAGGTGGATGTGTCTGACAACCCATTCCTCTGCGACTGTTCCACTCAATGGATGGTAGATGTACTGGCTCCCATCGTGGAAAGCAAAGGTTCTAACGCTACTTTGATGGTGTAAGTAGAATTACTTAATATTATGGATGGCAAACGAGTAGACGGATCATCTGATGGTAAGCAATCGGCGTCGTTTATCGACATTCGTAACACTATAGAAATTATTCGCCTGCGACTGCCTCGTTGGCCGAGTGGTGACTGCCTCGTTGGCCGAGTGGTCGTAAGTGCGACTGCCGGGCAAGGGGTCTCGGGTTCGATTCCCGGGTCGGGCAAAGTATTACTGGGTTTTTAAATATTCTCAGTAGTAGCACGGAGTCTGGAATTGTGCCCGGTATATGGCAATAGGCTCACCCCCTATTACATGGGACTCATAACATAAATAGTGAAAAGTGGGTGTTATATTGTACAGTGGTATAATGTGCACCTCTGCCTACCCCTTCGGGGATAAAAGGCGTAATGTTATGTTATGTTATGTTTGATTGAGTGGTCAGCTGTTGAGGTTTGATTTCCATTTGATATAATTGCTGATAAGGTATTATTGAACCCTTTTTTGAAAACTGCTTGGCCGAGAGGTCGGAAGTTGCGATTGCCGGGCAAGGGATCTCGGGATTGATTCACGGGTCGAGCAGGATAGATAATGATAGATATTGTAAGAAGGATGGTTGACACTTCAGGTGATCGAAGCGCTGGCTACTACCTTGGGCAAAGGTTAAGCATCGCCATTCAATGTGGCAATGCTGCCAGTCTTTTGGGCTCCCTACCTCACGATAGCGATGAGGAAAAATTTTTAAATTAATGTTAATATAAATCCATTTCTTCCAGATGTCAAGAACCGATAGAGATGCGAGGTCACACCATGAAAGATCTTCATGATTCTCACAGGACCATGCGTTGTGTCGACAAATACGGACACAGGCCCGAGAAAGATGGTGCTATTCTGCTTGGCACTCTAATTGGTAAGCGATATGATAATTTTATGGGATAGGCTGGCTAGTGAACAGACGGTTTACCTGCACAGCTCACACATAGGACCCACTTAGTTTTTAGTCAAATTTCCGTGGTGCTTGGCGACTGGGCTTTACCCAGTTGTGCAGTCTCTTTTTTGTGCCTTTAGGCTTAACCCCTCGAGCGTCCTCATGAGCACCCGGTGGATCATAAGGAAAAATGCTCCATGCTGCTTTCTCTTTTATAAAATCTATTATTAATGTTTTGTTTTTATTTTGACTGTATTTTTTATGTCTATTGTAATGATCCTTGTTTTTGTGTGCCAATGGCCAAATAAATGCATTTTCTTTCTTTATTTCTTTCTTTCTCCAAATGTCACGTTTGCACCCGTTGGATCATAAGGAACGCGGACGCTCGTCGGGTTAATACACTCTGTCCCCTGCAGTAATTCACCGAAGGAAGTGGAAACTATCGTTTTTTTTTTCTTCTCCTCTTAAAATATCTTTTGATTCACTTCGTTGCGGGAACCAAGACAGTTACTCATGTCCCTGGGACGCGCCGGACTTCAATGTTCCGGTGTTTTCATGGTTGTATCTACTATAGATCCTGGCTTACAGGAGTTGCAGTGGTTTTGGGAGGTTCTGGCGGGCTTGTCCCATAAAAAAAAAGACAGTTTACCTGGTGGTAAGCTATGCTGAGCTATCGTCGCCGTCCATGGACAATGGACATGGAATAAATGCATTTTGAGACCACTCATATGGCATGATACAACGCTTTGGTTGTTTCACGCCGGTGTCCTATGAAGCCGTGGTATCACGCCAGTCAAACGAATTACCGTGGCTCCGGCTCGAAGAAGAAGAAGGAACGGGGTGGTGTTTAGTCAGTAAAAGTCTGACACTCCCTCCCGCCTCACCCAGGCGGGAGGAGTGATTGAATAATTTCCCCCTAAACAGAAAACCTATAAAATATGTATGTACTAATATACCTTTTTTGGTTTTCAGGAGTTCTCTTAGCAGTTCCAATCATGTTGAGCCTGATGCTGCTCTGGCGTCGTGGCTACTTCGCCTGGCTAGGCCTTCGCCCCCCAGCAGACGTCTCCAGGGCTTTCTACAAGAGAGCACCCGCTGATGACATCCTCTACTAAGTTCTTGGCTCTTAGACTATCATCCCTTATGGATGATAGTTGGAGAGGCAACTTCAATTGTGTGTTACCATTTTTTTTGTAATTAAGTTTTTAAATATTATATTGTAAGTTAAATAGTTAATAATAAAGTAATTTTATAAGTATTTTTGAGTTTCATTTTAAGCGATGTTTGATTTTCTCTTGAATAAATTGTAGCTGTTGGCTTTGTATAAGCAGTGTCGTGGCATGGCGAATAATAGGGATGATCACAATGTATGAAAATGAAAAATCTAATTAGTCCGTCAGTTAGGTAATGAAAAAATATTAGACACGTATTTTTTTATTTTGTCGTACCTACAAGAAAACAATACTTAGATAAAACGAATCAGTTTAAGAGTGGGGGGCGGGCTAAAACGTCATTTCTACGTATAAAATGTACATAGAAGTGACATTACGCGACTTTTCAAATCATTATATCGTCGAAAGTATTCGTTTCTGTAAGAAAATAAAAAATACGTGTCTAATGGTTTAAAATAATCTACCAGACGGACATTAAAATAAAAATTAGTCATCTACCCTATTGATGAGATTTCGTCTTGTGTGTCCTTCTGTTATCTGTGTCGTGGGTACGTTTAAAAACATACAAGTTCACATACACACATTTACCCATAATCCCGAATTCATTCATATGAGTCTAGATGTGGTGAGTATTTTCATGGGGTAATCGAACAGACGGATCACCTGATGGTAAGCAATCGGCGCCGCCCATGGACACCTAGAACACCAGAGGCGTTACAAGTACTTTACCGGCCTTTTGGGGATTAAGAATTTGAGGATTCTTGGGTCTCTGGGATTGGGGAGATTGGAGGAATGAGAACGGGGGTAATTGGGCCTCCGGTAACCTCACTCACATGACGAAACACAACGCAAGCGTTGTTTCACATCGGTTTTCTGCTCGGCCGTGGTATCACTCCGGTCGAGCCGGCCCATTCGTGCCGAAGCATGGCTCTCCCACACTTAAACACACGTATATGTAATTATCATTATAAAAGTAAGGGAACAGAGAGTAGTCCTGTATTACCACATAGTATGTGTAGTATAATATCTCCTGACTTGACAGCCTCGTTGGCCGAGTGTTTGCAAGTGCGACTGCCGGGAAAGGAGTCTTGAATTCGATTCCCGGGACTGGCAAAATATTCTGGGTTTAAAAAAAAATCTATTACATGAGACTCACAACATAAGTAGTGAAAAGTGGGTGTTACATTGTGCAGAGGCATTTAAGTGCCGTAATGTGCACCGCAGCCTCCCCCTTCGAGGATAAAAGGCGTGATTATGTTGTTGTACAACATGTTCTACGCTAACTTCTCTAATTATGACCTTGATATTAATTTGACGCAATCCTATCGAAATGTTGTCCGTATCTGATAATATTTAGATAATGATTCATTAACCTGCACTGCAGATAATATGATTCATCTCAATATAATTCAAAGGCTTTATGATTGAACTTGTCATTAGGTATGTTCATTGGCTTTTACAAATGATTCATCAACAGTCTAATGCCCACAGCTGGGCAAAGCCTCTTCTCACACTGAGAAAGTTTGGGCATTCATCACTACGCTTGCTCAATGCGGGTTGGCGATTTCAAACTTATAATTAGAAATAACTAGCAAACCCAGCGAACTCCGTTTCGCCACCAGATGGCTTCATTTTATAAACATTCTTTGCTATAAACCTCACGGAGCCCGAGACCTTTCCAACGAATGCAAAACCGTGGACATCGGTTCGTGCATTCTGGAGTTATAGCGTCAGGAAGGAAAACCTGACTTATTTTTATACAGTAGATAAGCCCAGGTTTTCCTCACGATGTTTTCCTTTACCGTTTGTCAGTGGTGTCTAAATAATCTTAGAAAGTATGTACATATAACTCGGAAAAAGTCACATTGGTACTTGCCGTTGGTAGGTTTTGAACCCGCACTTTCATGCATGAGAAGCTCGTGTCTTAAACCTCCTGGCCACCACGACTTTTTAGGTGACATAAGAGCTGTATTATCCCTAAGGCAAAACTACACAAGTGCCTAAGGCTTATAAGGCTAAGGTTAATAATTCTAGTCCTCATTTGATGATAGTAATCTAGAACTAAAATAGAGAATAAAAAGTAAGAAAAGAAACCAAAAACAAATAATACTAATTATGTCTTCATCTCAAGTATGGCCATGCTTCAGCACGAATAGGCCGGCTCGACCGGAGTGATACCACGGCCGTGCAGAAAACTGACGTGAAACAACGCTTATGTTGTGTTTCGTCGTTTGAGCGAGGTTCCGTTTACGAGGTTCATTACTACCACACCTCTCCCCAAGCTCCCCAGTCCCTGAATCCCCCTACAATCCTCTAATTCCTAATCCCGGTAAAGCATTTGTAACGCCTCTGTTGTTCCAGGTGTCTATGGGCGACGCCGATTGTTTACAATCAGGTGACCCGTCTACACGTTTACCAGCTTATCCCATTAAAAAATATTAATACCAAGTTCAAGATAATACATAATTTTGTACAAAATTATCTAATCTTTAGAATTCAATACAGTACCGGAACTACTTAAATATTTCCTAGTATTGCGACATTGATATAGTTAATGATTCATAACCTACTTCCTTTCAAGTCTAGCGTGTGACTATAACAATACATAAATTATCACATCGTATATTTATCATCATACATCACAAGTACATTACTAAACTGCAGAGAGAAGCTTTGTTTGAAAAGCATCCACTGTCTTATAATCCAATGACACTTATAGAGAGAGGCAGTGTTAATATTTTGTCCAAACTAAGAACTGAGGGCACGTACACGATGCGACATCGGATCGCATAATGTACGAGCTCCCTCTATGCATCGCAAGAACTTGCGAATTGATTCGCATCGCGCATCAGAATCTTATCTTCCCAAAATCTTCTATGTTTCAAAGTCAAAGTCAAAGTCAAAGTCAAAATCATTTATTTCAATTAGGCCAGAATGGCACTTTTGAACGTCAACAAAAACAAAAATTTAAAGTGAAGCTATTTGCTCATTCCAAGGTTACTCTTTTTCAATCAGGTTCACAATACAATTTACTAGTTACATAGTTTTGCTGTTTGGATTGTGCGAGAACAATGTAACACTAAAATCCAGTCAAAGTGATCAAAAAAGAAAATAACCTTAAGGACAGTAATACAGTCTGGAGCTGACCAGTCCCAATTGACGGCGGCCGTTCACGAACATGACACGTACACCAGCACCGCCCAACTCAACCATATTGTAGGGAATCGAGCGATCCACTGCACGCGCCACCGCCAATGAGACCTTTGAGTGAGCATGACAATTCCAAGCTGACACAAATGAAATCTACTAATCTAATTTAATATTAAGTTAATTACAGGGCTCTCACATTTACAATGGTTATCTAAGTTACACAATATACAATTTAGCAATATGGCTGTATTATTTACGATTTCATTAAAACAAGTGTTTTTAGTTATCCTGTGGAGCCGGACTAGCCTGCATCCATGCATTTTTATCCTCTATATATTCATTAAGTTTCTTTTTCCTGTATCTCCTAAGCAATAACAGTATTGCACACTTCTTTTTACGATCCATGTCACGACCTAGTTTTCAATTTAAAATACGTTTAGTACGGTTGACGGTCGTCGAAGGAATGGTCACCCTGGGAGACGCCTTGTCACACGAAATCGCATCGCAGCAATTCGCATCGCATCGCAGTTTTGTCTACGAGCACTGAATCCAAAACAACACGCCCAGCAGACGTGCTTACTGTCTTATGTAACAATACCTATGGCTGGACAAACAAACAAACATAAGTACCTATTACAAAGAAAATTTATGATACCATTTTATTGATAAATAAATGTTATCAATGATTGATCAATCGTGTTAATTACAACAAAACGTGTTCTAATAAAAAGGCCTAAATGTACTATTTTAGCATGCGACTTCTCTTGTTTTACAAACCAGTAGCTGCGACTACCAAGTAAGAGGTATTGGGTTCAGTCCCAGGTCGAGTCAAATATGGTTAAGGCTTTGTGAAAATGTTTCCGTAATAGTAAGGAGTTAATAATTGTGCACCTCTGCCTATACCTTCTGGGATTAAAATGCATAATATTATAGTAATAGTGAGAAGTGGGTGTTTAATTGTACAGTAGCATAATGTACACCTCTGCCTACCCCTTCGGGGATAAAAGGCGCGATGTTATGTTATGTCATGTAATATTATGGTAATTGTATGTATATCTAAGAATTAATAAAAATTAATCAAGCAGTTTTTGTGCAAGAGTAGCAAATTATACGAATTTTAATAATATTTTAAATGCGTATTGTTTTCTATATTCATTGTTAAGCTAGCTTCTGCCAGCGGCTTCACCCGCGTCTCTAGGAGGAAAAAGTAGCCTATGTGTTACTCCGGTTGCCGGGGCTCCGGCTCGAAGTGCAGGAAGAGTCTGACACTCCCTCTCGCCTTACCCAGGCGGGAGCAGTCATTCGATGATTTTCCCCCCTCAAAAAATATATATGTATAGATAAATATGTCCGTCAATCAGTCTGTAAAAGTAATACAACATCCGCGAATGCGTAACCCCAATCGTACGTAACTATATCTTAGAAATAAATACACATACCTTTATCAAAATTTACTGATTTTCATAAATACATTCGTTTATCTAACGATAAGGTATCGATAATGCAAAGAGTAAGTAATATAGCAGAGTGGTTACAATTCACGTGACGTTTTATGCCTATGGAAAGTCACTTATCATCGACAGCCTATAAGTGGTCACTGCTGAGCAATGCCTCTTCTCACACGGAGAAAGTTTGAGCATTAATCACTACGCTTGCTCAATGCGGGTTGGTGATTTCAAACTTTTAATTAGAAATTATAAGCCCAGGTTTCCTCACGATGTTTTCCTTCACCGTTCGTCAGTAGTGTCTAAACATGTAACTCGGAAAAATTCATATTGGTATTTGCCGTTGGTCGGTTTTAAACCCTCTTATCTTCATGCATGAAAAGCGGGCGTCTTAAACCTCCGGGCCACCATGACATTTCTAATTATAAGTTTGAAATCGCCAATCCGCATTGAACAAGCATAGTGATTCCCAACAAGAAGAGGCATTTGGTCAGCAGTGGCCACTTATAGGCTGTTGATGATGATGATGATAATGAATTAGAAACAATAAGTCTAGGTTTCCTCACTACGTTTTTATCATGTTTGCTAAAGGCGGATTGCTGAGTAAAACATTGTTATGAGAATAGCTACGAATGCAAGCCAAAACAGATGAATAAACCTTTTTTTTTTTGTTGACTGAGGGAAACCTTTTTACCTCACTAAAACCTCCCCGGTGGCCACCATCCGCACTTGAAGGGGGCACCGGGTCCTCTTAGTAGACACACTCCGGAGCCCTCACAGTGTAACGCCTGTTACGGTACCTCCCTATGGAGACCTATGTGTCTCGCCTAGAGCCTCTGTGCACTGCACGGCGGCACGTGACCACTGTGCCGCCGTCATCCTTGAGGTCATTAGGTGGAGATGAATAAACCTAAGTTATCACCAGCCTCAGTGAATAATCCAGGGGCTGCGGATGACCTAGCGAGGCTCCAGCTCGAAGCAGGAATAGCTGAACGTGGTGGCATTTAGTCAGTAAGAGTTTGACACTCGCTCTCGCATCACCCAAGGCGGGAGAAGTCATTGGTTGGTTAAACCCCATCAGTAAACCTTCAGATGGCGGAATGGAGGCGGAAATTTCAAAACTCATGAAATCACAGTTTTCTACGATCCTGCAGCCACGGTTGCGATCTTCGCCCGCAAACTTGACGGTTGATTATCGCAAGACGAGTGACCGGTTAAACAATCAGTTGAGTTCCAGCCCGCGAGTTATAGTTCGCGAGCCCTGAGTTCTTACATTGCGATCGCCCGAAAACCGATCGCAGAGCGCGCAGGTGCAAACCACCGCGGCGGGACCATGGCCGCGCCCGCCGGTGTAGCGGAAGCCGCAAACAATCGCAACCGCTGTGGGCGTAAAACGCGCCGTGAAAATGCTTGACTGCTTTGATTTTTTACATACATACTAGCGGACCCAACAGACGTTGTCCTGCATATCCACTTGAATGTATAAACAAAAATTCATTCAAATTAGTTCAGCTGTTTAGGATAAATAACCTAAACATCGACTGCAGCGCCATCTTCCGGGCTGATTTGTGAATCTAAACCATTCCCAGATCCCCTTGAACACACACAAAAAAATTTATCAATAGCGGTCCAGTCGTTTGAAAGAAGTTCAGTGACATACACACTCACAGAAGAATCCTTACTATATATATATTGTTCCGCTTTCACGCCGTAACTACTAAACCGATTGCTTTGAATTTTTGCAGACGTGAAGTTAGAAGTCTGGATTAAATAATAGGGTACTTTTTATCCCGAAGAAATTTGATATTCACCAGGAAAAACGAAATTATTGGTATAGATGGCGCTGTGTGTACTAGTATATGTCACATAGGCTACTTTTTATCCTTTTGTGACGCGAGCGAAGCCGCGGGTAAAAGCTAGTTATATATATAAAGATCTCTATTCTACAATGGCTGTGGGCTCGCAACCTCGGCAGCCGCGGAGGAAAATCACGCCGTGAGTCTTTAGCCTCAGTGAGTTAATAGGCATTAAAGTACGCGGACTTTTATGCCTATCTGTAATTCCAACAATTACATTATCTTTGGCAACGAATATCTTAGATATGTTGTAGACGTAAGCCCAAACGGGTCGTTTTCCACAATCTCGTCACGGTTTTTTTATCGGGTCAACAAATTTTTTTTAGTTCTATATTATTTTAAATGTAGTGTGGACGTGTATTTGAAAGATGGTGTCGTGTAAATTATTAAGTTTTAGCGCGTTTTTTGTTCTCTCATTTAGTGTTAAATTAAGTGTGACCCAGGTAGATGTAGGTAAGTCTTTTTCTAGTTTTGTTTTAAGTTTTGTATGAGTGAATTTGTGGATTGAATAAAGGGTATAACCTGGGTGTCTTCAAGGCCCGAGTGAATCGGTTGCTTATGAGACGACGTGCTCCATCGTAGACCGCAACATCGTGCACCACCAGGCGAGATAGTGGTCAAACGTCGGCCCGTCAAATATATAAAAGAAATGTCTTCTTTGATTGTGTTGACGCCAATCCGATTGCCGCACGTGAGATATGAAGTTCAATAACCGAAACTAATTTTGTAACTCTTAGTTTAGAAATAATGAATTTCGAAGGGATATCACAGCTTCGCAGGAAACCAGCGTGATACAACGAAACAACATTTTCGAAAATGAGTGAGGTTACTGGAGGCCAAATTCCCCCCTCCCTGAACTCCCAAATCCCCGAATAATTTTTCTATGTACTTTATAAGATTATTTACACGCCACTGACAAACGGTGAAGGAAAACATCGTGAGGAAACCTGGGCTTATAATTTCTATCTGGGCTTGAAATTGCATATCCGTCTTAAGCAAGCGTGGTGATTAATGCTCAAACCTTGTTCGTGCGAGACGAGGCATTTGGTCAGCAGTGGCTACTTATAGGCTCTTGTGTTGATGACGATGTTAATTTTTTTTTAAATATTTGATGGGCCGATGTTTGACCACTATCTCGCCCGGTAGTAAGCGATGATGCGGTCTACGAGGATTGATAATATTTTTTTTCAAATATTTTAGGTACAGACACGACAAGTCCGGACCCACTATCAACAACAATATGTACGACATGCTCCTGCGCAGATGGTGTGGTCAACTGTATGAATCTGAACCTCACTACATTTTTTGAAATTCCTGATTGGGATGGTAAGAAATACAAGCAAATGTCTAGCAACATACAAAATATGTAATACATAAAATAACATATATTGTTTCATGTTAAACGGTTTTAATCACACTAATATTATAAATGTAAAAGTTTAACTAAAAATCGCGGATTACTCACATGAATATACCAAAAAAGCTCTACTAGTTTCGAACTACAGAGGGGTTCTTCTTAATGAGCAGCGTGCGCGGTCGCGGCGATGTCGCGCAGCTCACTACGGATAGTATGTCTCACGATAATGATTATAAAAACAAATATAAAAGTTTTCTTGTTCGGATGTTTGTACGTCAATCACGGTGAAACTACTGAACGGATTTTGATGAAATTTAGTATACAGGCAGGGTATGAACTGACTTAGCTGATAGGATACTTTTTATCCCAATTATGACTCCATGGGATTTTTTTTAAGGGGGGAAAATCATCGAATTTCTTCTCCCACCTGGGTGAGGCGGGAGGAAGTGTCAGACTCTTACTGACTAGAAACCACCCCGTTCCTGCTCCTGCTCTTCTAGCCGGAGCTTCTATGTGATAAAACAGAAATACGCGCGCAAAGCCGGGGGTAAAAGCTAGTGAGCTCTATTCTACCTATCAAACCCTTTCGTTTGGTATCCATAATGGAGGTAGTTGTGAAAAAAATTAGATAATATTGTATGGTCACCAAGATTAAGAGTGTGTACCAAATATCAGATCGATCTGTCGTCAGGAAGGGGGTGAAATTCCAATAATTAAATTGGTCTCAAACAAACAAACGGCGTTGATTCCTATAATCGGAATATTTTTGGAAATTAAACAACAAAATATATTTTTCCAGGTCTAAAGGATTTCAAACCTCTGTCAGTGAATCTAAGCCAGAATTCCATCACACATATATCAAGGATATCAAAATTACCTATACGAGAATTGAACCTGTCTAATTGCGATATACAGACAATAGAAGATGGAAGCTTCATATATTTGGAAGATCTGGCAGTACTGGATTTGTCTAATAATAAAATATCCACCTCAGCAATTAATAAGAAGGTTTTTGCTGTAAGTAATTACATACATAACATCACGCCCTGGCACTTAATGTCACTGTACAATGTAACACCCACTTTTTACTATTTATGTAATAACATGACTTATTAGTCATCTTATGGGACTTATTAGTCCCATGTTATTAGACTAATAATTCCCATGTAATACCTTACCCCCGTAAGCCTACTGCCATATATCGGGCACAATTCCCGACTCCGTGCTAATACTGAGATTTATTTAAAAAACCCAGCAATACTTTGCCCGACCCGGGAATCGAACCCGAGACCAGCAGTCGCACTTGCGTATTTTTATGGTATAAGCCGGTAAACGAGCAAGCGGATCACCTGATGGTAAGCAATCGGCGCCGCCCATGGACACGTGAAACATCAGAGGTGTTACAAATGCGTTACCGGCGTTTTGGGGATAAGGAATTCGAGGATTGTCGGGGATTCAAGGATTGGACGATTGGAAAGGGGTTATTGGGCCTCCGGTAACTTCACTCACTTGATGAAACACAACGCAAGCGTTGTTTCACGTCGGTTTTCTGCTCGGCAGTGGTATCACTCCGGTCGAGCCGGCCCATTCGTACCGAAGCATGGCTCTCCCACACGTAAAAGTCAAGTTTGCAATCACCAACCTGCATTGAGCAAGCGTAGTGATTAATGCTCAAACCTTCTCCGTGTGAGAAGAGGCCTTTGCTCAGCAGTGGGCACTTATAGGCTGTCGATGTTGTTGTTAATATACTTTTTTAAGTATGACTTTGTTTTTTACAGGGTCCTTTAGGCATACTTGGTCCAGTGAACTTCAAAAATATGCAGTATCTAAGTTTAGCGAATAACGACCTACACTCATTGGCACAAGATCTATTTCTGTTTATGCCTGACTTGCTGCATTTAGATTTGAGCGACAATCCACTAGCTTTCATAGATCAGGTCACTATGGCTGCCATTTCTGATTTGAAGTACTTAAGGGTAAGTAGAACTTATGCATTATAAGACATAAGGCTTTGTATTCCGTGAAACGGCTTTGAATATTTAAATGTAACGTCTAATGTAAATGTTAAGGCTACATCAAGCGTAAAAGTCAGTAAAAGAGGATAATAAAATGAACTAAAGTTTTCACAAAATGACGTCACACGATAATCCAAAATAATGTCTCTAATGTTTTTAAACAATTTGCCTAATGGTCATCATTAAAATAAAAATTAGTAATTTACTAATTTCGAGTCACAGAGGGGTTCTTCCTTATGTTTTTCTCAGTATATTCATCACGTTTTTGAGAGAGTAGAATCATCGTATAACTTCTCCCGCTTTAAGTGAGTTGAGAGAGAGTGTCAAACTCTTACTGACTAAACACCACTCCGGGGCTCCAGCTCAAAGCAGGCGTAGGTTCTTAATAGTGCTTTAAGACGGAGTCGCGGTAACTCGTTAGGTTCTAAGATTTTCGTCTGTGTTATGGATACGTTTAGAAATACAAAAACCAAAACGTTTTAACTTGATTCCCCCTAGTCCTTTCCATCATCATACCATAAGACAATCGGCGAAGCGTCACCGATTCACGGTAGGGGCATCTACCGTGAATCGGTGACGCCCGCACGAAGCGCTTCGCATCAAGCTTCCTTGTGCGTACTGCTAAGGAATGGAATTATTTGCCTGAGTTTGTTTCCTGAAGGACCTGGGTGTCTTCAAGCCTCGAGTGAATAGATTGCTCCATCGTAGACCACGTCATAACTTACCACCAGGCGTAATAGTAGTCATACGTTGGCCCATCAAATAGAAAAAAACCTATTCAAACCGCTTTTAAAAGCAATTTTAAATCAATAGTTTTATTTATGTACAAATTTAAATTAATAATATCTCATTGCATATTCCAGGAGTTAAGACTAAGCAACTGTGAGCTGGAGACGTTGCCTGATGGTCTACTCAGAAGACAGAGGAAGTTGCGACGTCTGGACATAAGTAACAATAGGTTTACCACGATCCCAGCAGTCCTGAAGGAAGCTCCCAGTCTGGTGTATTTGAATCTGGATAGGACGCCTATACAGACACTGGATTCTAGCGCGTAAGTCATATTCTTTTGCTGTCTGTTCTAAGAGTCACGGTACCTAATATGACAGAGTTAAATACCTACAGCCGCGCGGTACGTAACGTACGTGCATCAGCGCTGCCCGTCTCCAGTATTTTAGTTACATTTTCCTACTTTCTGTTTCTATTTAGTTTTGTCCTTTTTTACACAAACAAATAAAATACTTCGTATATGGAATAGGAAGTGTTCAATATAAATGCGTGTTGCTTTTTGATTGGTAGACTTAATTTAAAAAAAAGCATGTTATTGTTTGAAAATCAAATCGGGCTTTTACGACCGAAAATATTTGCAAAAAAATATAACCAAAAAACAGCACAATATATCCTAGTCGCCATATTAAATATGTACTTGAACTTATTTTTAGTGAAAAAATCGCCCGAATAAAAAACGACACATAGCCCGTTCGTCACTGCGGCACAGTCGCGACTGTTATCATGCCGAATGCATGCCACGATCGAGGCGCGTAGGAATAGCTTGCGTTTCGTCCGTTTGTATGAAGTTGGAATACTGTATGATAATATTACCGTGTAAGAGTGGTGTTAGATGTCAACAAAAATATTTGATCACAAGCTTTTGCGAGCAGCTGCCCAGTTTCCGTGGGAAAAAGTAGCCTTTGTTTTGTTTTAGTCCATAATCTACCTCTATATAATAATAATAGCATTTATTCAGATAAAGAAAAGAAAACAGAACAATTATTTGACAAACTGGACTAAATTTAACGTCTCAACTGAATTGATGGCATTGACCAATTGACATCTTCATCTGTTTGCCTATTGACATCTTCATCTGTTTGCCTACCTACTTCTATTACCTCTACTCCCAATTAAATCACGATCTCATCAATCGTTGTGACAGGAGTATTTTTTATGCGAAAAGCCGGTAAACTAGCAAACAGATCACCTGTAAGCAATCGGCGCCGCCCATGGAAACCTTAAACACCAGAGGCGTTACAAGTGCGTTACCGGCCTTTTGGTAATTGTGAATTTGAGGATTGTGGAGGATTTGGGGATTGGGAAGAATGGAGAGGGGGGGTAATTAGGCCTCCGATAATCTCACTTACACGACAAAACACAACGCTGGCGTTGTTTCTAGTCGGTTTTCTGTTCGGCTCTGGTATCACCCCGGTCGAGCCGGCCCATTCATGCATGGCTCTTTGACATTTAAGTTTTGAAATCACCAACCGGCATTGACCAAGCGTGGTGGCGCAACCTTACCCGTGTAATAAGAGGCCTTTGGTCAGCAGTGGACACTTATAGGCCGTTGATGTTGCCCCACACTTACAGCATATACACACAAACTTTGGCATTTATAATATTAGTTAAAATAATTTTCTATTTTTCCAGGGCTTTAGCCAATCTGACAAAATTACAAGAACTAAGTTTAAGTAGGCTGAGTAGACTTCAGAACGTGTCAGCGGGGGCCTTAGCTGGTCTAGGTGACCTGGTCATTCTAAGGATGAACTATAACCCTAGACTGACTAATCTAGACCCAGATTTTCTGGTGTGGAAGAATGAAGATGATGAGGAGTTGTGGCCGAATCTTAGAGAGGTAAGTTGATGATAATGATGTCGATTTATTGTGCCCAGCTCATACTGAGTTGGCAAGCCCTTTCTGCATAGCATGTTGCCAGCATGTTGTTTTTAATATCATCTATACATCTATACAGATAAATAAAATAGGGTAGTTACCAGGGAATGATAATTAAAATCTAATTAGTCCGTCAGTTAGATAATGAAAAAATTAGACACGTATTTTTTTATCTTTTCGTATAAAGTTACAATACTTAGATAAAATGGAGTTACGTTTAGGAGTGGGAGGGCGTTACGTCGCTAAGTGCTATAAAATGTAGCGCATAGTAACGTCATTCGGCGTGTTTCAGATTAAAATATCGTTGAAGAAACATCAAGCAATCTTGCTCCTGACTTATGTAATATATTTTTGTTTTTTTTTTTCAGTTATACTTAAATAACAACAATCTATCCAGCATAGACTCTGGAATACTAGATAACTGGAAGGAGTTGGTGGCAGCGGACTTTTCAACCAATCCATTTATATGCGACTGTAAGAATCAATGGGTGGTCGACGTGCTTGTGCCGTTGTTAGTCACGATGTCTGCTAACTCCACTATTAATAATATGGTGTAAGTATATTACTTTTTTTTGAAGAGGGAACATCATTTAATTGCTTGTCCCGCCTTGAGTTAGACGAGAGGTAGTGTCAGACTCTTACTGACTAAAAACCACCCCGTTCCTACTCCTGCTCTTCAAGCCGAAGCCCCTGCTACCCGTTAGGCCTTCCGCGGCGTGACATCTTCTGCCTTGGGCGAGGCAAGAGTGAGTGTCAGACTCTTACTGACTAAAAACCACCCCGTTCCTTCTCCTGTTTTAAGTTGGAACTTCGGCAACCCGTTTAGTCTTCCGCGGCTCCGGGTCAGGTATCTGCCCAACTGAGCCCAATGTATGGTGATCTGATGGCTTTGTACGCTCGAGTCTGGTATTGGTGGGGCGACGATTCACCGTCCACAGACCCGTGCTTATGGTGGCCGGAAATCGGCGCACGAAGTCCACTGCCTATTAAGGAGATCTCGGGTTTTAAAGCCAGGGTTTAGTAAAATTATATAAAATGCATATATTCTACCTACTCATAGTGTAACAGATTAGGGCTGGATGTTTCCACAACGAATTAAAAAACCGAGAAAATTGGCGGGTACGCGGAGCGTCTTCGAACACGCTCACGCACTCAATGTTTCGGCGGCGACTGTTGGCGGGAGCGCGGGGCCCGCTCGAGCAAGGCGTGGGCGGGGCTTCGAATTTTGAATTTTAGCGCGAAAGCGAATTCACTACGTTACCGCCATTTTTTTATCGCGCTACAAAGAAGGTTTTTAACATAAGAGTTCCCTACACATAGTACTCATAACTTAACTACTTAAATAAAATCCTTATCCTTATTGACAAATATAATGAATCTCCTGAACTAAACGCATGTTTAGTTCGGGAGATTTATTTATTTTATTTATTGTACAAATAATTTTTGTTATTTTAATTTTGAATTGTATATATATATTTTTTTACTGTTTTCTATTATTATTATTAAATGTAATATTTTATTAGTAACGGGCAAGTGCTGAAAATCGAGTGCTGCTGTGACTCGAGCACACTCGTGTCACGGCATTTAAGCTGAGCTCTTGCCTTTTTGCGCCGTCTTACTGTATTGTTTCTTATTTTATTTCCTTGTGTCAGTGTGCAAATAAAAAATTTTCTTTCTTTCTTTTTTTCTTTCTTATTCCTTATATATAAATGGGAAAGTGAGTTTGTTTGTTCCGCCTTCACGCCGTAACTTCTAAACCGATTGCTTTGAATTTTTGCAGACGTAAAGTTAGAAGTCCGGATTAAATAATAGGGTACTTTTTATCCCGGAAAATTTTGATATTCTCGAGAGAAAACGAAATTATTGGTATAGATGGCGCTGTGTGTATTGGTATATGTCACATAGGCTACTTTTTATCCTTTTGTGACGCGAGCGAAGCCGCGGGTAAAAGCTAGTGTTCAATAAATTAACGAATGTCTGTTCTAATTTCCAGTTGTAAAAAGCCGGCTGAACTGAAAGGCCTAACGTTTGGCCAACTGAACGAGGCCTCAAAAACTTTAGTTTGCTCCGAGGCTGAGAGTATCACAGAGCTACAGGTCTCCAATATGGCGATAATCCTAGGAATTATGATTGGTAAGTGCAAATATAATTGGGTAGTTCGCTGGGTCAAAAATAAATTATTTTGATTTAACAGTCCAATTAAATATTGACAAATAGTAACACTTTCATTCATTGATTTGCCGATATACTTAATTTAGATTTTTTTTAGATATAAGTGTGATATTTGTTCGTACAAAATTCATAGAACAGTATCTTTTTGACGTTTCGATAAAAGTATTGAATTTGAGTAGTTTTCAACTACCGTATTGATATTTTAAGCAACTCAGAGCCGTACTAAGGCAAACAAGGCTATAAACAAGGCCTAGGGCGCCAGGTTACACAGCACTGATTTACGGTAAAGGAAAACATCATGTGATGCATCTAGGCATATAATTTTTAATTATAAGTTTGAAGTAGGTACCTTTGAATAGCCTATTGAACAAGCGTAGTGATTAATGTTCAAACCTATATGTGTGGGAGAGCCATGCTTCGGCACGAATGGGCCGGCTCGACCGGAGTGATAGCACGGCCTCACAGAAAACCGACGTGAAACAACGCTTGCGTTGTGTTTCGTCGTGTGAGGTTACCGGAGGCCCAATTACCCCCCCTCCTTAGTCTCCCAAATCCCCGAATTCTCCACAATCCTCAAATTTCCAATTCCCATAAGGCCGGTAACGCACTGGTAACGCCTTGGTGTTTCGGATGTCCATGGGCGGCGCCGAATGCTTACCATCAGGTGATCCGTCTGCTCGTTTACGCCATGCTATAAAAAAACGTTTTCCGCGTGAAGAGGCCTTTGGTCAGCAATGGCCACTTTAATTGATTTTTGATGGTGATTAAAATATGTTTTTTTTTTAATTCCAGGTATAGTGGTAACCTTCCCAATGGTATTGGTGTTAGTTCTCCTATGGAGACGAGGGTTCTTCTCTAGGTTGAGAGGAGGCAAGCCAGACTATGATGAAGAAGCTGAAGATCTGTAGATATTTCTAGAAGATTAGTCTTAGTGGACTCGGGTATGTCCTAAAACTGCGACCAGCCACCGAGAGAAGAAAACTAAAATCCCCAACTAAAATGCTAAGTGTGGGGATTATGGAAAATCCTTCTGTAGTGGGGATTTTTTTAGCAGTGGACGTCTGATGATGATATTGAAGAAAATAGTGTGAAATGCAGAAGAAGCATATATTAAATGTAACACCCACTATTCACCAGTTTTGTTATGAGTTCCATGTAATAGGGGTGAATTTCAAAATTTTGAAAAACCCTTAGTTTCCCGAAGCGATAATTAAATTAGGTATGTTAGATACAGAAAAGACAGAGAATAAAGTACTTACCTGTGTAATAAATGTATGTTTGTATCAAACTGTGTGTGTATTTTGCGAATATATATTGTCAATGAGATGATCAAGATTTTTTGCTTTATTTGTCAAAAAATTACCTATATATACCTAGATTTTTATAAGACAAGCCCGCCACAAACTCCCAAAACCGCTGCAACTCCTGTAAGCCAGGATCTACAGTAGATACAACCATGCAACTCCTGTAAGCCAGGATCTACAGTAGATACAACCATGAAAACACCGGAACACTGAAGTCTGGCGCATCCCGACCCGTCCCGATCGTCCTGTCCCATCAATACCGACATACTTATAAAAATAAGAATAATGATCGAAATATTATTTATGCGCATAACTTTTGAAAGATTGCATCGATTTGATTAAATTTTGATTGAATAACCTTAGACCGTTTTTTTTTTTGAAGGGGGAAAATCATCAAGTAGTAAAATGGGGTGGATAGGGATCGAGAGGTGAATAGAGACAGAAGAGGGGTGAATAGATATTGGGAAATTGTTCATAGTATCGATTCACCCCTCTTCTGTCCCTATTCACCTCTCGATCCCTATCCACCCCATTTTACCGTTAAATGTTTTCTCTAGCCTTGAGGAAAGCGAGAGAGATTATCAGACTCTTACTGACTAAACATAACCACGTCCCTACTCCGGCTTTGAGCCGGAGCTCCGGTAACCCGTTAGGTAGCACGCAGCCTACCGGGTATCGGCTCTACAGAGCCCCATCCGTGGTGGTGTTATGGAATGTCCTTCACAGCCAAGAACAGATTATAACAATAAAAAAATACGTATTCACTGGAAAATTATGGAAATAATGCAGAGCCGTACTATCCTTAAGGCAAATTAGGCAAATACCTAGGGCGCCAGGTGACAGAGGGGCGCCGAGACGCTTGTGCCTAACGGCCCCAGGAGTGGGAGTGGCAACAAAAATATTAGGGGCACCTACCTACGAGGTACTTTTCGAATTTAATCCGCTTCTGAAATAATCTAACATCCGATCGGGTCCACTAGTCACTACATAGTATAAAACAAAGTCGCCCTCTCTGTCCCTATGTCCCTTTGTATGCTTAAATCTTTGAAACTACGCAACGGATTTTGGTGCAGTTTTTATTAATAGATAGAGTGATTCAAGAGGAAGGTTTATATGTATAATACATACATATTGCACCCATGCGAAGCCGGGGCGGGTTGCTAGTAAAAAATAAAACAAATATGTCAAACATTTGTGTATTCATTTATTAAAAAAACTATTGACATCATAATTCCACTTAGTATTTTCATATCTTTTCTAGATTTCGTGTATTACTTTTTCTCAATGTCAGATCTGCCACACGCTTGCGAGAACTTGATGGCTGGATATTCTTTATCTATAAACAAAAAGGACAAAACTTAATTTGACCAGTTACGGCCATTCTGTAAAGCATAAGAAAAAAAAAATCGAAATATTTAAGAATTAAAAGAAAGTCGTGTTAGTTACACTACTTATAATCCCAGAATAGTTTAATCTAAATTAATTTGGCTGAAAATTGGTGGAGAAGTAGTTTAGAACCAGAAGACGGACATAGAAAACTTTTTATCCAAGGATTTCCCAAACATTCTCTGGGACCAGGGAAAATAGATTGCGCGTAGGAAGTCACGGGCAAAAGCTAGCAAGTAATATTTCCGGGGTAGGTTATCCCGTTGAGCGTCCGCGTTCCTTACGCCTTTCCTTATTCTTATGCATGCAAGAAAATACATTTATTTGGCCATTGGCACACGAAAACAAGGATTATTACAATAGAAATAAAAGAAATAAAGTCAAAATAAAAACAAAACATTAATAATAGATTTTATAAAAGAGAAAGTAACATGGAACATTTTTTCTTATGATCCACCGGGTCATAAGGACGCTCGAGGGGTTATTCTCGGAAATGACGATAATTCAAATATCGTGAAGGAACCTCGTCTTATAATTTTTATGTGAAATTCGCCTTGAGGAAGCGTGGTGATTAAGAGCTACTACACATGAGCGGCATGTTGTGAACGGCAAACGCACGAGCGGTATATTGGCAACAACACACCGCTCTAAGAGCTCCGTGTAAAAGCTCTAATGGTCATTCCTTCTCAGCAGTGACCACTTATAAGCTGTTGATGATGATAATGATGAAAGAAACCAGAGATGTAGAAAATTATAGTTTCTTTAAGTATGCACTAGTAATATAATTAGGGGTATTACTTACTACTCATTAGAATATTTCTCAAAAACGGTGGCGCTATGATGTTCTTTATTTTTTTCCTGTAGCAGGCTAACCTAAAACAATAATAAATAAATGAATCAGAGTTTAACTCATAGACAACTAGGTACTAATTAATCATATCATCAGGTGGGCGGTGTGCTTTTCTTGCCACTGTCGCTGCATAAAAAAAGGAATTGAATAGGTTTAAGTGTGGCAGAGCCATGCTTCGGCACGAATGAGCCGGCTCGACTGGAGTGATACCACGGTCTCATATAAAAACCAGCGTGACACCACGCTCGCGTTGTATTTTCTATTCCTTCACCCTAAATCCCCCCATTCTTTAAATCCTCATAATCCACAATGCACTTGAAACGCCTCTAGAGTTGCAGGTGTCCATAGACGGCGCTGATTGCTCTGCCATCAAGTGATCCGTCTGCTCATTTACCGCCCTATACTATAAACTAGTTAATTCCTTGTTTTATGTCCGCTATTATAAACCACGCGGGTGAAGCCGCAGACGGAATGCTAGCCACAAAATAAAGTAGTGACTCACTGGCTTCGAGTAGGTCCAGCTAGTTTCATAACCTGAGCTCTCATGCAGCGGTAGCTATGTGAATTCCTGAAGTGTTTGCATCTGAAATTACATAAGACATAATAGCTCCGTAAATAAATCAATTGGTTAGATAAGTAATTTTTATTTTAAATGTCCGTCTGGTAGATTATTTTAAATCATTAGACACGTTATTTTTATTTTCTTACAGAAACGAATACTTTCGACGATATATTGATTTGAAATGTCGCGTGACGTCACTTCTATGTACATTTTATACGTAGAAATGACGTTTTAGCCCCCACTCCTAAACTTTGATTCGTTATATCTATTTTTCATTACCTAACTGACGGACTAATTAGATTTTTAATTTTCATACCCTATCATCATCCCTATTGATATCAAACGTATTATCTCTAAGGCGAATCCAGATAATTGCTTGGGGCGCCAGGTTACGGACACACGCCGCGAGACGCGCGCACCCATAGATTGGAGGCAGCGCCGAAAAAATTAGGGGCCTATAAGGTGTTTGTCCATCAGGGCCTAACAGGGCGGTATCGAGGTTTATTCCGCTTTGAACTTTATTTTATCTATTCTAACTTCTAAATTAGCGGCTGCTGGCCATGGGCACTGTTAAGTTTTTTTTTTTAGGTTTCAAGGAACAGAGAGTAAAGTTCCCTAAGATGGAGAATCTTCCGACCAGGCGAGGTGATCGTGCCTAGCAGGCTTACTGTCCAACAATTGTTCGTTGGGATTTTCTACCCATGTTTATTCGCATGTGCGATATACAATTTAGTGACGTCATCCGTTGATTTATTTTTCAGCGATGGTCTATGTGCGTCAGCTGTCATTTGGTATGTGTCATGTGTTACACACACACAGGTTGGATCGAAAACATATAGAAAGACAAAGTGTTTATAGACACAGGGAGCATCAGGGATTTTAGACCAACTCCCTGAGTACTGGCTTTCTGCATAGATAGCTACCACCCCGCGAAGTGATCCGTCTATTCTTTTTTGTCCCCTATCTTATAAAAACACAGCCTAAATGATGATACGACAATGATACTCTACTCACCCATTTTGTTTCGAACAAATACAAACACTGTTATTAGTATTATCGTCCCTGAAACAACATAATATAAATAAAAAATTGGGTACCTACTTTCCTTAATCAAAAATAAATTATTTCGACTATTCAATGCAATAATATATTAAAAAATAATCACAATTTCATTAATTGATTTTATGACCAACTTAATTTTAGTATTTTTCCAGCAAATGTAATAAGTATGCTGTATAACGCTAAAAAAATGTGTGGTGACCACACATTTTTTACTACACAATTTCGTACAGAATTCATAGTGAACTGTCGTTTATGACAGTTCGAAAAAGTATTGAATTTGACTAGTTGTAAAATACCCAATTATACTGAGCAATTATACATTTACTGTTCGCAAAATTCAATGTCCAATAGTAAATTTTCTATTGTCAAAACATTGGATATTTGATAGCCATAGTAATAAACAAACTACATTAGCGCCACCTGGCGTACAAAAACCGGTAAACCCTCATTGACAAACATTGAACATGAATTTAGCCATTGACATGATGTTTTGCCTGACTTTGTTTTATAAATTTTATTATTACAGTGTAACGCGACGCCGATTGCTTACCATCAGGTGATCCGTCTGCTCGTTTACCGGCTTATGCCATAAAAAAATAAAAAATATTAACCTGAGACACTTTGCTCGGTTGTCACCTCCAAGGCAAGAGATAATTAACACTTTTTAAAACCTAGCTTTTAAATCATGCAAACTAAACGTGTATACAGATGAAATTTCAGCTCAATATTTGCTTCAAAACTCAGGTGCAAGATTTAACTTTACACACCCACATACATTGCAAGTTAAATATTAAAATCTTATGATAGAAGTAGAATATATAACATTACCTTGCAATTTTAGACACTTTTGCAACCAAATCGATCCTGAAAATCAGTAAAAGGACGGTTTTAAATATCCTATGAAGAAAAATAATATTAGAGGCTGATCAGAGCCGTATTATCCCCAAGGCAAATTAAGCAATTGCCTAGGGCGCCAGGTTACAGAGGGCGCCGCAAGACGCGCGTGCACAACTGCCCATTTTTTTTTAAGGGGGGAAAATCATCGAATGACTGCTCCCGCCTGGGTGAGGCGGAAGGGAGTGCCAGACTCTTACTGACTAAAAACCACCCCGTTCCTTCTCCTGCACGTCGAGCCGGAGCCCCGGTTACCCGTTAGGTTCTAGAGTGACGGCGGCGACTAAAGAAATTAGGGGCGCCAATGAGGTGCTTGCCTAAGGCGCTCACTGAGTTTAATCCGCCTCTGGTTATTAAATACTTACCATCCAAGTTTATATGGCTTGTTTCTTCTATTAATTGTTGAATATAATCTTTTGATTCCACGAACTGTAATACAAGAAAGAATATGGTAATTTTACAATATTTCAAAAAACGCAATGAGCAGTGTCGTTCGATTCTTATAAAAATTCTTTGTGTGATCCACGTATTGTTGTTCTGGGTCTGTGTGTCATGTGTATGTAAACTTGTATGTTTGTTAACGTGGAGAAACATAATATAAAGGAGGCCATACATGCTAGGTTTTAATGATGATGATGATGGTTTTACCCGTGCAAGCATAACCGACAGGCAAGCCCTAGCGTGTATGTGATCCCGAGCGTACGGCGCGTCGCGTTCCGCGCGCGCCTCAAAGAGCCATCAGACCACCACAGATGGGGCCCAATAGGGCTGATGCCGATTCGGAGTCGCGGGGAACCTAACGGGTAATCGGGGCTCCGGTTCGACGTGCAGGAGAAGGAACGGGGTGGTTTTTAGTCAGTAAGAGTCTGACACTCCCTTCCGCCTCACCCAGGCGGGAGCAGTCATTCGATGATTTTCCCCCCTTGAAAAAAAGCGTGTATGTGATTAAACTGTACAGTTATCTGTGCATCGGTGGTCGGTTATGTTTGTTGGATTTGCATGCACAGTTATTACCATCATGCATAACCTAGCGTATATGGCCTCCTTAAGGTTTTACAAAGGTATATCGTTCCTGGTACATTCTACCATATGGCATGCAAATAATATGTAAATGAAGTTTATCACCCTTCATTCAATTTGAATTTGTCGCGCTTAACTTGATTCGAATTTGGCGCGTCATCGGTGTGTGATGTTTGAAGTTTATTAGCTATGCCTCGTTGGATGACATTACTAGGTTATGTGTAAAATAAAATACCGGTGAATATAAAGTAATAAGTGAAAACATAGCTTAAATGTTGTTTCTCTTTTCAGGTGAGGATTGTTTTTGATTGTAAATATCTTACCATTGTATTTGATTGTTAAAACATATTGTTTATAAAAATAAACTCTCTTTTCAGAGCAACGCATTTCGCAATTATTTTATCGACAGTTACAAGTCATTAAACTGTCAAACACCAAGCGGTCACCGGTGACCGCGACCCATTGTTCTTTAATTGTGTCTATAAAACCGGTACTCGACGAGTTAAATTAGAACATTATATATATATATTTAATCATAAAAGCTATGAACATAATGGACTATAATAATTTGTAAGTTATCTATAAAAGTATTATAATTTATTATTTTTACTAACTAATAAAGACTAACTAGCTAAGCTTTAGAGATCTCCGCTTTAGTGTCGACCTCAGTGGCCGAGTTAAGAAGGTTCACTACTTACTTTGATGTTCAGTAACTTCTTCATATAGTATCTGTTTCAGACGCCTGCGAAGAGTGCTGAAAAATAAAGTTGAAAGGTTTAATATCCTTAATCTATACTTTTTTATAGAATTGTAGGCAAACGAGCAAACGGATAACCTGATGGTAAGCGATTGGCGCCGCCCATGGACACCTATAATACCAGAGGCGTTACAAGTGCGTTACCGACCTTTTGGGGATTAGGAGTTTGAAGACTGGGGATCGAGGTGAGGATTTTGCCGCTTCCTCTTCGAGTAATTTGAGTTATCTGAAGAATAGTTTGGTCTGACAGACCTGCCGCGTCTTTTCGCCAACGATCCACACGATAGCGTTTACATTCCCATTATATAGATGGTTGGCAGGCCACAACTGTGCCTCGGCCATTCTCGTGGGTTAAAAAATAGCCTATGTGTTATTCCAAACTATAATTAATACTGAATTTCATCCCGATCCCTTCAGCGGTTTTGACGTGATGGTGTACCATACATACAGACAAACTTTTGCATTTATAATATTAACTAACTACTTCCGCGCGGTTTCACACGCTCTGCTCAGCTCCTATTGGTCGTAGCTTGATGTTTTATATCCTATACTGTACGGGTTTAGTTTGCCCGTACACTACCGTTAGTTGGTTTCAGTTGGTTGAGTTGATTGTTGAGTGTGGTGATGAATGAATACTCTTCACTTGGTTATATAGAAGGTTTATTATTCACCAGTTACAGTTTAGTAATAGTTTTAATGATTCTCACAGATACGCTTGTGTTGCGTTGGCAGTTGTACACACACTGAAGACCGTTTTAATAATTGTTACGAACTAAGTGAAACGACCGATATGCTTACTTAGCTTGATGTCGCGACACGAATGTACGTAAACCGTACATGTTCCTAACCCGAGAGAAAGAACAGGCTCAGCTATGAGAATCATCAGTACAAAAGTAAAAAATGGAACAAAAAATAGTTAAAGTATAAAACACCGTATAAAAAAATATAAAAAGTATAAATGTAAACATAAAAACCGATAAAATCAGAAATGAAATTCAATATCCTTCGATGGGACCTTGGTTTTCAACGCTGGCTTCGATAGTGGGCGCTCCATCATCGAACGCGATCTGAAGAACCTGCCGACCTTTGTTGATGGTCCGTAGGATTGACTTTCAAGATCTTTGCTCTTGTTCGTAATTTCCTTCTTAGGTGTCGTAGATTTCTTTTTGGTACAATAGCCACGTTTCTTGACTATCCATACGGCTATGCTGACGACCACTACCATCAGTAGCAAGTAGGTAATGGTATAATGATGGATGTCATGAGTAGAAAGTGACGCTGGAAGTTGTTCTTTGCGTTGTAAGTATCTTAACTGGTCTTGAACTATGGCAAAGCCTTCTTCATGATTCATCTTCAACATTGGCGTAGAATGTGGTTTTACTATGCCATTTATTGTTTCATCTAGTGACGGGATTTGTATGTTATAATTCAGCCTTGCGTTACTGTTGTAGTCATTGTGAGAATGAATTATCAGATCCTTGGTTTGCAGAAGACATCCTTGTTTCAGCGTCACAATGGATGACTCGCTGATGACGTGCGATTTGACGTCACCGTTGCATATAGTGCGCACCGTGTATGTGTCACAAGTGACGGCCAGCCATGTGTTTATGTTATGTAGTTCGATCCAGGCAGTATCACATTCGGTGCTCCTTGAGTTGCATGGTGAGGTCGTTTGATGACCTAGGAGTTTAGCTTCACACGGTGCATTTGTGTTTTGTAGGTTGTAAATTGGCAAGTTCAATATGCAGACGAAGTTATCTACACTGCGTTGTGTGCAGTGATTTAGTTCTTTATCATTTAGAGTGACGTAGGTATTTTTCGCAATATTAATTGCAATATATTGAGATGACACTACGACAACAGCCATTTCGTCAGGATTTTGTAGGTTCTTTAGAGGCAGAGGGAAGATTTGGTATACCTCAAAGTCTTCGTCACTTGCCAAAGGAATATGGAGTTCGTACATGAAATAACTGCAGGTTACTCTGGCTTTCACGTGAATTAATTTGTAGATATCCTTAATGTCGTCTTGAATGTTGTCTACGGGTAACGTTAGAGTTTTTGGCAACTTTCCTGATATACTATTCAACTGGTGGATTAAGTTTACTGGTGTGACTAAATGCACATCCATCTTTCCTTTATAAATATCGACAAATGTGTTAAAGAGTGTTTCTTGAATATTCTTCAAACTATTCAGTAGAAGATGAGCAGTGAGGGATGCTGAACTGAAGAAGCTGGTTGCCATGGCTGTCTCGAAATCTGATACGATCCTTACCACTTGTATATTAGTTTCATTCATGAAGTTGTTTATAAGAGTGAACTGCTGATTCAAGTTTTCTTCATTCCTTTTCAATATATCGTTTTCAATTTCAATAATGGAAGTTTGATTTTGAATGAGTTGTAAAAGATAGTCTTCATTTTTTTGAATAGCTTGAATATCCATATGATACTGGTCTGCAAACCTCTGATCTAGGACACCAAATAAACTGTTTGCTACGTATCCCACGCCGTCTATCAGACCACGTTTCTTTCGGCTAGAAAGTTGTTTGTGTGGCGCGAGTAATATGTTGTTATAATATTTAAGAAGTTCCATTTCGTGTGATAGCTGTTGAATAGTTGTTTTACAGTACTTGGGGTCCAAGCTTTTGCACAGGTTCGTGACGTTTTCATAGTAATTTTCAAATTTTTGTACTCCGCTCCAATATGTTGACAAGTTATAATACATGAGCAGCCTCCATTCGTCGTGAATCAGCTGTAGTTTTCCGACCTTATCGTAGTATATGGGGCGGTCAGTACCCAGGCTCGTGATTTGAGTGCTTGATGTTCCATTTGTAACGTTGCCACTTATTCCAACCACAATGGTTAGTAGTAGAAAAGTGGTAATCATCGTAAAAAATGTTTTCTTTCCGATTCTGCGTGTTGTCTGTCTGGGTCTTGTTTCCGGTGTATAGGTGTTTTCGCAACAGTCGTGATTTGTGTTGATAGTGGCAGTTTCAATCGGTAACAACGATAATTTCGTAATGGGTCGTTTTAATGTGGTATTTTGCGTTTTTATAGTTGCGACACGCACGTGACCGTCACTGCCAGGGTGAACTTCGATCACCCGGCCTAGCGCCCACTTTCCTGGTGGAAGATTGTTTTCCTTTATCAAGACGACGTCATCATTTTTAATGTTAGGAGTGGATTTCAACCATTTGCTGCGTGCTTGTAGTGATGTTAAATAGTCAGCTGACCAGTGCTTCCAAAATTGATGGAACATATTTTCCGTCAATTGCCATCTTTTACGTAAATCTAAGTTTCGGTCATCCACATAACTTGATAGTGGCAGAGTTAAAGTAGGGCTGCCGGTTAGGAAATGTCCCGGCGTCAGATAGTTATAAAACTCGTCTGGCTCCTCTGTGAGTGGACAAAGGGGCCGTGAGTTTAGACAGGCCTCCACCTTAGTTAGTAGCGATGAAAGCTCTTCAAATGTGAGTTTTTGTTCTCCTAGAACACGGCGTAGATGGTGTTTCATAGAGCGGACTGCAGCTTCCCACAGTCCTCCGGCTGTAGGCCAAGCGGGCGCGTTGAAATACCACTCTATTTTCATTCTGCTGAGTTCATCAAAAAAATCACAGGACAATTCGATTTTAAAAAGTTCGTACTCATTGTTTAGCATTTTTGAAGCTCCAATAAAGTTTGTGCCACAATCTGAATATATGTGGCTCGGTGTGCCACGTCTGGAACACATTCTTTGGAGCGCATTCAGAAACGTTTCCGTGCTCAAATCTGACACCAGTTCAATGTGAACGGCCTTTGTCGCTAAACAAACGAAGATCGCAATATAACCTTTGGATGTTTTCACGCCCCTTCCTTTATTCAGTTTGATGTCTACGTGACCCGTGAAATCCACCCCCGTGTGAGTGAAGGGACGGGACGGTGTCACTCTTTGCTGTGGAAGATCGGCCATCAGCTGATAGTTCTCCTTGCTTCTAAATCGGTGACATCGTATGCACCGACGTAGTTGAGATTTTACTGCCTATTTCCCCCTATTATCCAGTATTGTTGGCGGATGTAGGACAACGTCAGCCGAGCCCCACCATGTAAAGTTGCAAGATGGGCTTCATGTATTATTAGTTCAGTTAGTCTGCTATTTCTCGGTACAATAGCAGGATTTTTCATTCCAGCAGGTAAAGTACTTTTGTTAAGACGCCCACCTACGCGTATTATTCCCTTTTCATCCAGATAGGGGTTTAGTTTGCATATGTTACTTTTGAGATTTACACTCTCCTTTTTGCATAATAAATCATAATCTTTATTAAATGCTAATTGTTGAATAGTTCTTATTATGATATTATTTGCGTAATTAAGTTCGCTTGTTGTTAGGTAATTAAGTGGCACCAGGTGGTCGGTGTTGAATTTCATTATTGTTGTGGTGTTTCTAAGTGCATTTATCTTGAATCGCAAAATCCATGCGACGACTCTAATTACTCGTGTCAATGAGCTGCAATTGTTTAATAAGTTATTTATTACATTATTTGTTTGCTGTAGGGCTGGCTCAATCATCTTGTTTTCAATTTTGGTTGTATGTGAACAAATGAATTGATTTAGTGCTCCTTTTGTTTGAATTTCAAGGTTAACAGGTCCAGACCACCATAAATTGTAGTTTACTAGTTGCTCCGGATATAATCCTCTAGTCGCACAATCAGCAGGGTTGCCTTTCGACTCAATATAAGACCACTGGGATGCTGGTATTACTTGTTTTATCTTCAGTACACGATTTTCAACGTATCTTTCCCATCTTGAAGCTTCTCCTTGCAGCCACGCTATCACTACCTTTGAGTCACACCAGGCGCGAACAGTTATGTTATGTCCTTTCAGCGACTCCGTGACCTTAGCTACCAGCTGAGATAGTAGTAAAGCACCGCTCAGTTCTAGTCGTGGTAGAGATAGTTTTTGTGCGAGCGGAGCAACCCTAGTTTTCGCTATAAGCAGGGTCATCAAAGGCTGGTTGGATTCATTCAGCACACGCGTGTAAATGACGCAAGCATAAGCTTTTTCGCTAGCGTCGCAGAATGCCAGTAATTCTATGTTGTTTTGTGTGCCTCCTATCCATCTGTTTATTTTAATAGTTTTCAATGTTTTAAGTTGAGTTTTTATTTTTAGCCACTCATTTTGTATGTCAACAGGTACTATTTCATCCCATGCTAATTTTTCTGCCCATACGCGTTGAAATATGAGTTTTGCCCTTACAGTTACGGGTGAAAACCATCCAAGCGGGTCGTATAGCTGGGAGATTTCGGATAGTAAAGATCGTTTAGTCATTCCTTTTTTACGTTCTTGTTTTAAATTCCAATTGAACGTAAATGTATCTAATACGGGATTCCATCCGAGGCCAAGTGTTTTCATAGCATCTTCTTGCTTAAAATCAAATATAGTTCTTGAAATTTGATCTTCACTCAAATGCTTTAATAGCTCAGGACAGTTGCTCGACCACTTTCGTAAGTTCATACCTCCTCTAGCCAGTAACTGAATTAATTCTGTCTGTAGTTTTTTAGCGGTTCGAGACAATTGTGGCCACTAGTCAAATCGTCGACATAGAATTCTTCTAGTAGTAACCTGGCTGCATCAGGATATAAATGCCCATCGTCGCTAGCCAATTGTTGTAGTGTTCGCATGGCCAACCACGGTGCACCTTTTGTACCGTATGTCACCGTGCATAGGGCATATTCTTGTAGTGGCTCGCTTTGAGAGTTTCTCCATATAATTTTCTGAAGTTGCTGTTGATCTTCGTTTATCCAGATGCACCTGTACATTTTTTCTATGTCCGCGGTGAAGGCGTATTTATATGTTCTCCATTTCAAGATTAGGGCTTGAATATCCTTTTGCAAATTGGGACCCTTTTCCATTAGGCTATTCAAGCTCTTACCGCTTGACGTTTTCTGTGAGGCGTTAAAAACAACTCTGAGTTTGGTTGTTGTCGAGTGATCTCTTAATACGCCGTGGTGTGGTAGATAGCATTCGGTTTGATTGGAAAATGATGTAATTTGTGAGGCTGGCTTCATGTGTTGCAATTCTATGTATTCAGCAATAAAATTTTTGTACATTCGTGAGAGTTGTTCGTTTTTGGCAAGTTTTTTCTCCATTTGTAAGAACTGTCCAATCGCCATTGACTTAGAGTGTCCAATAGCTTTCTCATAGTTTTTGATCATAGGCATTTTGACTATATATTTGCCATCTGAACATCGTTTTGTAGTTTTTCTGTAGTATATCTCGCATTCATCATTTTTTACTATGTCTTCCGCACCAGGAGTTATGTCTTCATTTTCCCAGTACTTTGACAGGTTAGTGAAATCAAGCAAAGTTAGGTGACAATTCAAGGTCTTAAGCTTTCCACATAAAATCCAACCTAATTGAGTCTGTTGGGCAATAGGGGAGTGTTGTTGACCTTTTATAATTCCGTCTAGGATAATGTTTGCATACACGTCTGCTCCTAGGAGAACATCGATGGAGTTCGACACATTGTAGCTTGGATCGGCCAACTTTAAATTCTGCAGATGCATCCAGTCAGCGCCAGCGCCCTTGAAAGTATAGCTAGGTAGTTTGTTCGTTAGATTTTGCAGAACCAATGCTTGCACGTTGAAAGTGTAGTCCGAATGTATTGATTGACAGTCAAGATTCAGGATGCCCTTGCAGTTGCGAGACGTGGCTCCAATCCCTGTCACTTTTCCATCAAATTTAGCACGAGGTAGTCTAAGCAATTGTGCAGCATTTTCTGTAATTAAGTTTATTTGGGAACCTTGGTCTAGGAGACCGCGCAATGTTATGAATGTTCCGTCAGCAGTTTTAACTTTGACTTGGACTGTAGTCAAGAGAATTTCTGTATCGTCAGCATATAAATGATGTGCTAAATGTTGATTGGATGTAGATGCTCGTGGATTTGAATCCATATCTTCATCCCTTCTCGTGGTCGAGTTAGAATCATTTGTCCTTTTAATATGCAATAGAGTATGATGTTTTGAATTGCATTCTCTACATGTTTTCCATGATGTACAATCAGCATTTCCGTGACTGTAAAGACAATTTTTGCAGACTTTCAATTTCGTAACCGTTTTGTTTCGCAGTGGAATGTCCATGTTGAGAAATTTCTCACATTTCATCAACACGTGATCGCTGGCACATAGAGGGCATCGACCGTAATATGATGTGTGAAATGTCTTTGAATAGTCTTTATTCTGTTCATATAGAGTTGATTTTTTCACGTTTTGTTGCCTATTGGAGTTGAAATTATGTTTAGAGTTCCAATTGTTATTAGGGTGGTATTTATAGTTGGGTTTGCTGAATGTCTTGTTAAATGTTTGATTGTGAGAACTGGATTCCTTTGAGCAACCCTTGGCCGTTTCATAAGCCAGGAATTTATTCTCCAGGAATGTGAGAAACTCGTCTAAGTTCGGTAATTCCCGGTTATTCTGAGTTTCTTTAGTGTATTCGTTTAGAGTTGTCGAGTCTAATTTTTGCGTCATCAAGTACACCATAATGGGTCCACAACTAGATACTTCAACACCCATGTTGCTCAGGCCATTGAGACACTCCGCTAGCACATCGTGCATCTTTTTCAGATTGTTTGCGTTTGGTTGTTGAATGGAAGGCAACTGTTGTATAGTGTTCATAAATGAAGTAAATTGAAGGCGACGATTGTCGTACCTGTGAGTGAGTATGTCCCAACAGGAATCGTAATTGTCTGCACTGATGGACAGATGATGGACAAGACGTTCCGCTTCACCTCTTAGTTTGGTTTTTAAGTGCTGCATTTTTTGCGCTTTGGAGATGCTCGGGTTGTTATGTATGGTTTCAACAAAAATATCCTTGAAAGTAATCCAATGCATATAGTTTCCAGAGAATTCGGGTATATTTATTTTCGGCGCGGACTGCTGGTAGTGAACCGTAGACCATATCTTGCTGTTGAGTTCTTTCTTCAAGTTATCATATTTTTGTTCATATCTTTCGTACTTTAGTGTATATTCATCTTGGAAGTTGGATCCCTTTAGTTCATCTTCTAGTTCCCAATGTAATTTGTCGATGCAGTCCCATTTTGCCTTTAATATTGTAAGATGCTCTTCAAACTCCCACTTCTCAGCGATAAAGTCAAGGTTAATTTTTGACATGGCTTTGGTTAAGGCCTTAAAATTACGTTCTTGTTGAATTATTAGCTTTTTTAGGTTGTCGCCAGTTTCTTCAACTATTATCCCAGTTAGATCAAATTCGACGCTTGACGGTTGCGTGTTTTGTTGCGCAGTTAATAAGCTCATCATGTTTTTCTTGGTAGATTCGTATAAAGTTTTAGTTTTTTCATAAATTTGGTTGTTAAAGTAACCGATGTTTTTATTCTCCGTAGTTTCCAAAAGTATTGTATGTTGTTCGTCGAAGGTCTCCCATAAGTTTTCTAGGTTCTTTAAACGTTTTTCCAGATAGTCGGTGGTTTTTCTAGAAGCACCATCCTTCTTGTAGTTAGTACACAGGGTCTTAATATCCTCGAAAACCCCAACTTGTTTGGTAAGTAGATCCATTTTAAGTTTTTATCGTTGTAAAGTTAACTTGTTATAATATGTTAGTCTAGGTATGGTACCTAATGTTTGTTTGTTGGTTGTTGACTTGAAGAACCGCGCAGCTGTGCTGAAGAAGGTCGTAGTTTCAGTCTTCTTTTCTTCAAGTCCTCTAGGATCTCACTGTGGTTGCACTCTACGTACGATATTATGCGCCTTCTCAATTCAACTGGGGCGACCCGCTTGTGGGAGACCAGTTGAACCGATTCGCTATCGCCAATAGAGACACTGCCCACAATAAGTATCCTCGCTAATATCCGGCTCGAAGGACCATTTAATGTACGGGTTTAGTTTGCCCGTACACTACCGTTAGTTGGTTTCAGTTGGTTGAGTTGATTGTTGAGTGTGGTGATGAATGAATACTCTTCACTTGGTTATATAGAAGGTTTATTATTCACCAGTTACAGTTTAGTAATAGTTTTAATGATTCTCACAGATACGCTTGTGTTGCGTTGGCAGTTGTACACACACTGAAGACCGTTTTAATAATTGTTACGAACTAAGTGAAACGACCGATATGCTTACTTAGCTTGATGTCGCGACACGAATGTACGTAAACCGTACATATACCCATCCTTGATAAATGCGCTATCCAACACAAAAAGAATTATTCAAATCAGACTTGTAGTTACGGAGATTAGCGCGTTCAAACAAACAAACAAAAAAACAAAATCTTCCTAAACATCGACTGCAGCGCCATCTGCCGGGCTGATTTGTGAATCTAAACCATTCCCAGATCCCCTTGAACACACACAAAAATGTTTATCAAAATCGGTACAGTCGTTTGAGAGAAGTTCAATGACATACACACGCAGAGCAGAATAATATATATAAAGATAAGAAGATATAAGATAAGACAAGATAAACTCACTTGCTTTTGTAACGATCAGAACTTCTTGGGATACTGATACGGGAGCTGCGTGTCAGTATATTCTTCTTGACTGGAAAAAAAACATCATCATTATCATCAACAGCCTGTAAATGCCCACTGCTGACCAAAGGCCTCGTCTCACACAGAGAAGGTTTGAGCATTAATCACTACGCTTGCTCAATGCGGGTTGGCGATTTCAAACGTATAATTACACTCCGAACGTCGAGGATCGCGAGACGATTTCTGGCCACCGTAAGCATGGGCCTGCAGACGGCGAGCACGGGTGACTCGCCGCCCGACCAGAACCAGACCCGAGCGCGCGCCTCAAGGAGCCATCAGACCACCACAGATGGGGCCCAACAGGGCTAATGCCGATACGGAGCCGCGGAAGACTTAACGGGTTGCCGGGGCTCCGGCTCGAAGTGCAGGAGAAGGAACGGGGTGGTATTTAGTCAGTAAGAGTCTGACACTCCCTCTCGCCTCTCCCGGACGAGAGAAGTCATTGGATGAATTTCCCCCCACAAAAAAGTTACATATGTATTAGGCTGTTATGTATGTACTTACAAAATCTCAATGGTAGTTTTATTAAACTGCCTAGCCGTCTGTCCATGATTTTCCTGTAAGAAATATTAGGTATTGTAAATAAATTTTATGGCATTAAGGAATTCTTTGAACATAAACAATATTATAACATTACGCCTTTTATTCCTGAATGGATAGGCAGAGGTGCACATTACGGCACGTAATGCCACTGCACAATGTAACACTCACTTATCACTATTTACGTTATAAATTTCCATGTAATAGGGGGTGTGCCTATTGCCATATACAGGGCACAATTCCACACTCACAGATTTTTTTCAAAAACCCCAGTAATACTTTGCTCGACCCGGGTATCGAACCCGAGACCCCTTGCCGGGCAGGACCTCTAGGCCAGCACAATAGCGTGTATTTTTTTTTTTTTTTTTTTTAAGGGGGGAAAATCATCGAATGACTGCCCCCGCCTGGGTGAGGCGGGAGGGAGTGTCAGACTCTTACTGACTAAAAACCACCCCGTTCCTTCTCCTGCACGTCGAGCCGGAGCCCCGGTTACCCGTTAGGTTCTCCGCGACTCCGAATCGGCATCGGCCCTATTGGACCCCATCTGTGGTGGTCTGATGGCTCTTTGAGGCGCGCGCGGAACGCGACGCGCCGTACGCTCGGGTCTGTTTCTGGTCGGACGGGGAGCCACCCATGCTCGCCGTCCGCAGGCCCGCGCTTACGGGGGCCGGAGATCGTCCCGCGATCCCCGACGCCCGGTGTGTCCTTCGCGATGGCTGGGTTGCGAGGAGGCAGCGCTTCGCTGCCTCACGCGTCCCGCCTCCTCCTTAGCTAGCATGACTGCTTCGCAAAAGGAGGAGACGGCATCCCAATCCCCCTCGCTCCGCATCATGGCCTGCACTAGGCCCGGACGCGAGAGGTCGCCATCGCCGATCACTTCCCTGAGGACACGGCGGTGCTCAGCCCACGAAGGGCATTCTCCCACCGTGTGTTCCACCGTGTCCTCAGGGCGGTCCTCGCAGTGATGACACCCGGGCGTTTCCTCCCGCCCCATCAGACACAGGTACCTCCCGAAACTGCCATGTCCGGTGAGGACCTGCGTCAGGCGGTAGGTGAGGACGCCGTAGCGTCTCTCAAGCCACTCCTCAAAGAGGGGACTTACCGCTGCGATGGCAGCGAGCCCAGTCCTCGGTTGCGACAGTCGTTGCTGCCATTCCGCCATGAGATCGCGCCGGAGCTCATCCCGCCACGCACTTATCTGGCGCGGCAGCGGAGTTTCGCCCCGGCGACGTGCCTCCGCGCGCATGCTGTGCACGCGCGCGAGCACCTTCGCCTCCAGATCCCACGGCGGTAATCCGGCAAGGAGGTTCGCCGACTCCCCAGAGATCGTGCGGTAACAATAGCGTGTATGGCAGCCAATAATTACCTAAGTACTATTTGATTTTGACTTTGACATTCAAAAGTTACTCACGTAGCTGCCGACTCGTCCACAGTGCTACATGGTGTATTGACCCACTCTGAAGCATTGCGGGAAACATCTACCAACGAAACAATGAAATGAAAAAACTAACTAATGGCGAAGAAAAAATAGAGTAGATGCGTAATTTTTATTTTAATGTCCGTCTGGTAGATTATTTAAAAACATTACACACGTATTTTTTATTTTCTTACAGAAACGATTAGTTTCGAAGATATATTGATTTGAAATGTCGCATGGCATCACTTTTGAGTACGATCTATACTCTAAACATCATTCCCATACATTTAGTTTTCTACTCTCTCAGTACACAAGCGCTAAAGTGGCGTTTGGCTGAAGGCACAGGTGAGGTTGAGTGACCCGACGAACAATACTCACCAAAAGAACATTTAGGTGAAGAATTGATTAGTATTAAAAATTACCTGACTCCTGGTTCAGTACGGCAAGACTGTAAGAACGGCCTTTTAGCCTTGAGCTGAAAAAACAAAAAAAACTATTATTTTATATAACATCACGCACGCCTTTTATCCCCGAAGGGGTAGGCAGAGGTGCCTACCCCTTCGCCACATTATGCTTCTGTACAATGTAATACCCAATTTTCACTATTTATGTTATGAGTCCCATGTAATAAATATCAGACACCGTGCTACTACTGAGATTTTTAAAAACCCAATAATACTTTGCCCGACCCGGAAATCGAACCCGAGACCCCTTGCCCAGTCGCACTTGCGACCACTCGGCCAACGAGGCAGTGATAAGTATAGATACACTGAAAAATACTCACTTAGATTTAATAATTACAGGGACTTCGGAATTCTTGCGTAACGCCATATTTGCTATTTCAGTAGAGACTCCAAGCTCTGAAAATTTCTTTCAGTCAGTTTCTAGGTAAATAGATGATATTGTACACTACGCTAGGATCGTCTCCTGTGTCGTGTGTACGTTTACAAACATACAAGTTCACATACACATGACACCCAGATCCGCAATAACAATCTGTGGATCACACAAAGAGTTGCTCCGTGCGGGTATCGAACCCGCGACACGGTGCGGGGTAGCCAGTTGCCTAGCCATCGCGGCAACCGTGCAATCAGATTAAGAGTGTGTACCAAATATCAGATCGATCTGTCGTCAGGAAGGGGGTGACATTGCTAATACTGGCGGGAGGGAGTGTCAGACTCTTATTGACTAAACACCACCCCGTTCCTTCTCCTGCACGTCGAGCCGGAGCCCCGGTTACCCGTGAGGTTCTCCGCGACTCCGAATCGGCATCGGCCCTATTGGGACCCATCTGTGGTGGTCTGATGGCTCTATGAGGAGTGCGCGGAACGCGACGCGCCGTACAATAAAATGAAATACTATGGTTGACCCAAACAAACAAACGGGGCAAGCTATATAAAACTGTTTAAGTGTTTATGTATATGTTTTTAAAACTCACCAGCTATACGAAGATCACTGCAAATAGGTTGATTTTTCTGTAAAAAAACAAAATATTTACCAGTAGGTAGGTAGGAAAGATAGTAATCTTTCTTTATTGAATAAGCCGGTAAACGAGCAGACGAATCATCTGATGGTAAGCCATCGGCGTCGACCATGGACATCCGCAACGCCAGAGGTGTTACAAGTGCGTTACCGGCCTTAAGGCGATTAGGAATTTGAGGATTATTGGGGATTCGGGTATTGGGGAGTTTGAGAAAGGGGGAAATTGGTGCTGTAACCTCAAACACACGACGAAACACAACGCAAGCGTTGCTTCACGTCGGTTTTCTACTCGGCCGTGGTATCACTCCGGTCGACCCAGCCCGTTCGCGCCGAAGCATGGCTCTCCCACACTTAAGTATTATAAAGGTAGATTCATTTCTAGGTGCAGAACTGCAAACGAGCTCAACAGATCACTAAATGGCAACCAACTTTTTTCAAACAGTAAATTGAACATTGATAAAAAATTTGGATTTTGGAAGTTTCCTCCGGTATTTTTAAAGTTTGATCTGATCTAAAACCCTAGGCAAGGGAGTGTCAGACTCTTACTGACTATACACCACCCCGTTCCTACTCCTGGGTAGATCCGGGGCCACGGTCACCCGTTAAGTTGTCCGCAGCCTCTCAACGTAATAAACAATATTGTTACTACTTACAGGAGGTTCATAGGACTCCTTTCTCTTGCGATGGCGGCGTTTCGGTGGCGACGACACCGAAGGACGTATGGGTTCAGCCCTGTTGGGAATGGTTATATTTTATTTATTATTTATTTTATTTTTAGCCATGGTCGTCCCACTGCAGGGCAAAGGCGTCCCTCCTTCTACTCGTCTCTTTTTATAGCTTTCTGTGGCCAATCCTATTCATAAGCGTCAAGTTCATCCCGCCATCTTCTTCTAGGCCTTACGCGACTAACCTACCTATCTTTCTTATTCTGTTTCGATTATCGAACAAAGTCAAAATCATTTATTTCAATTACACCAGCGGTGCTAGCCAAATGCCTTTTATAAGCGTGTCTACTTGTAGAGTAGATAACTCAATGTATGGGGATGACATAAGCAAAATAGACAGAGTTTAACACTCTGAGATTGGTAGCCAAATGCATCTTTAGTCTATTCTACAAAACGGGTCGCTAAGCAAGTCGATTATTTTCCTTAGAAAGGCTAGCCAAATACCACTTTTGACTGTCGAAAGCGTTTCTTAGCGCTCGACACGGAGCGGTCGCTAGGACCTTGTAGATAGCGCTGCAAAATGGCCGACCTTCGATCAGCTGTTTGCCGCGCAAACATCCGAAGTAAGCCGCGCAAAGCCGCGCTCATTTAAATTTGTGTTCATGTGTTGTGTTGTGTGGACAACAAAAATTATTTTATTTTAATAAAATGCATACATTACGCCTATTATGGGCAGCTAAGACTGAAAGAAGTGGAATAGGCGTAATAAAAGAAAATTATGCAGAAAAAATCAATATGAAGAAATTCCGGACAATAATTTTATAGATGCATTTCGTTTGGATAAAGAAACTTTTAGCCTGCTTTGTAATGACTTACGTGCCCATACCTCATTGCGGGGAACAAAATATATTTCGCTCGAGACTAAGGTAAGTAAATAAATCATTGCCTACTACTAATAAACTAAATCCACCAAACTAAGTACGCATGAGAAAGCTTTCATTCAGTTCGAGCTCTACGGCGAGTTTATTGGCGAAAACGGTTTGATAATGATGAACATTAGGATACATCAGTTACCTGCTTAAGTCTTTAGAAGTAAAGTTAAAATGGTCTTTGTTTGTTCCTTTGTAGGTTCTTTGCACTTTGAGCTTTTTGGCAACAGGATCTTACCAGCGAATCGTTGGGGTAACACAATTTCTACCCCAACGAACTGCAAGTCGCTGTATAAGGAAGTCGTAGACGCGCTCAACAGCGAATACATGTTAAATGGCATACGATTTCCTCAAACGCAACAAGAACGGCAGGTCCTGAACAAGAGTAAGTAATATTCAAAATATTGCGACGGTTCTTATAAAATTAATAATAGCCGGAGGAATAGTAAATGTCTCGTTCTCTCGACCACGACTAAAAAGAAATAATACTGGGATTATGTTTTTTTTTAAACAATACCTACCATATATCTAACAGAAGGTACTATAAGACAGTAATCTATTACCGTTATTTGTTTAGTTTTATTTTTATTATATGTACCTATACTAAACATGAATCACTTCTAGGTTCCAAAGAAGATTTAATTGCCGGTGTTGTAGGCTGCATAGATTGCACGCACGTGGCCATTGTAAAGCCAGCCAGGGACGAGCACTTATTTTTAATAGGAAAGGATATCATTCCCTTAATGTGCAAATGGTAAGCTAACGTTCTATTATAATTATTATAGAATCTGTTCATTGAAATACTGCACAGATGAAGGACTGTCTGCGTCAACAACCATAATTTGTTTGAGTGCATTACGAAACACGGGTCTAGTATTTTTTGTATAAATATAATCGATAAGCAAAATTTCAAAACTACGATAAAGATTCACCGAGTTTGCTTAATATAATAGCTCTCTGTCTGTAAAAATACACCTACTCACCATGTACCGGCGCGCGGCCGCGGCGATAACTACATGTATACTTAGGTAGTTATTAACTCAACTATGTGCAGCTACAAACCTTCATTCGCTTCGCACTGTCTCATTGATAACGCAATTACTAATCCATCTTGGTGTTTAAACATGTTAATTAACATTATATTAAACGTTAATTCACTATTTAGTTACTAATTCACTGTTTAACCTACTATCTATGATTGAATATTTGAGAATCACGATGTCACTGATTAGGTAGATAGGTACTCACTTCACTGCTCACACATACTTTAAAAGTAGCTCGAAGCATTCGCCTCTGTGCATCATACAAAGAATTTCAAGAGCTATAATTTTGTGTAATTTGCTTAAAACAAATCAATTGTTTTTAACACTTGAAAATTCACTTTTATGGATTTTGTCTCCTAAATCAAATTCATTTTGTAACTCTTCTTGATAAACGAAGTGTTTAAAGTTAAAAATCTAATTGAAGAAAGATAAAACTTGCGATCACGAAATTGTCGACGAGGTGCATGCGCATACAACGACAGTAGCCGCGGCGTGAGCCTGAGCGTAACTGAACGAAAACGAAAGGGGGTTGCGCGGGTGCGTCGCTGTCGCTCCGTGCCGCGTTCGATACCTACAGTGCCGCGTGCCGTGCCCGCGCATGACCTGCAGTCATATGATTGCGAATAGGCAGCGCGCAGTTTTGAAGTTTTTTTGGTCAAAATACAACATGGTATAAAATCATTGAGATGGATTCAGTTGCTTATTCTAAACAAAGTAATTCCTGGTTGCACTCAAACAAATTAGGTACTTATAAGGTCGATATACCCTCTTTCGCCTATTTAAGCATGCGTGTAATTAAAATAATTTGATTTGCAGATTTGTGATCACAATTTAAAAATATTAAATGTGAATGCCAAGTATGGTGGAGCCACGCATGACTCATTTATATGGGCTTCCAGCCAAGTGGAGCCTTTCATGCGTGAGCTTCACCGACGTGGGGAGCAAACGTGGCTTTTAGGTGAGTAGCAATATACAAGTGGCAACCTTAGCCTTTTCACAGCACACACAGTGTCATTATATAATTATGTAAAGCGTATTACTTCTACATGGTTGCAAAGTTGAGAAACTAATAAAATATCCTTAAAATTGTAGGTGATTCAGGATACCCGCAAAGAGCGTGGCTAATGACGCCCGTTTTGAATGCCGCTGCTGGATCACAAGAAGATATTTATACCACGCGACACATACAAGCCAGAAACTGCATTGAGCGTTGTTTTGGTGTGTTAAAAGGACGTTGGCGATGTTTGCTGAACCACCGCACACTCCATTATGATCCACATGTTGCCAGTAAAATTGTTACTGCGTGTTGTGTATTACACAATCTCACGGTACACGCTCGTCTTCCACCACCTGCTGACGTAACTGAGCAACATGGTGATGATGATGGAGTGTCGGTGGCCGTTCAGATTGCCCATAACTCGCAAACGGACATTATACATGGCCGAGCAACGCTCAATGCATTGATAAGCAGGCTTTAATATGTATAAATTTAGCTTTTTTGTTTTACCTCCCAAAACCGATGGACTACTACACCTATAAGCCAAGATCTACAGTAGATACAACATGAAAAGTTGATCCCACTACGTAAAGAAGATATTAATAGAGGAGAAAAAAAACTATAGTTTCCACTTCCCTCGGTCAAAACATTGACACCATGGTGAATCAACAAGTGTAAAGAACAATTTGCTTGTGGTATGGGCACCTCACAAAGCAGACTAAAAGTCTGTTTATCTAAACGAAATGTATCTATAAAATTATTGTCCGGAATTTCTTCAATTTTATGTTTTCTGTATGCCTATATTCCTTATTTTACGCCTATTGGTTTTGTTTAGTTTTAATTTTTTACGCTTTTATTATATAATTTATTAAGAGAATACAAACTAGAGAAAGAAAGAAAAAGCAGTTTTATTTCAAAATAATTTAATAATATGTAGGTATAGATAAAGTTAGTAAAAAATGGCAAAAGCACGCAAGGTACAACGAGGAAACGTGTATACAAGGGTTGTTCGGGAAAAAACCTTTTCTAGAAGGTAACTTCTGCTATCGATTCTAAGTCTGAAGGAATAAAAAAGTTGTAGGTAATTATTTTTATTGTAAATTACGGATATCCGTAAGTGCTAACTACGCCGGATTTCACGTGACCGTCATGTAACTAGCTTAATAACGCGGTTCAACACACACACACTCAAACACGTAATTGATATTAAACTGTCAAACACCAAGCGGTCACCGGTGACCGCGACCTATTGTTCTTTAATTGTGTCTATAAAACCGGTACTCGACGAGTTAAGATATTATTACTAATTCCCAAAAATTCCAATAAGAAACGCGAACGCTCCACCCCCTAGCACTCTCACCCCTACGGGCCCTACGGCGCACACGCAAACACGCATTCAGTTTGTGCTTTGGCGCTGCCGGGGGTAGTCGATTGCGAAATTATTTCGCATGACCTTAAACTTACAATAACGTCACTAATTTATTATTATCAAAGTTCTAAGTTCAGTGTTTATGTAATAATAACATTTATGCCATCAGTTTCAATGAAAACAAACTATCGAGGTATTCGCATCGTACCTAAACTCCCAACACAGACATGACATGAAAGTCATGCGTTTGACTGTTACCCAGAGACTGCAAGTGATCAGTGCTTAAAACACATTAAAACAAGTGTCACAGTGTTGACTAGTATAATTAATGACGTGTTGCATAACTGTTACTGTGCATAGGTAGATTGCGAAGATGAAAATTTCGAACGAAATCTCCGAGTGACACAGGTAGATATGTAAGTTATTTACTTCACATAGTTTACATTCCGTCTCTAAGGATACCTACAGACCCATTACTAAGTTTTAAATTATTTGTACCTATTCAGCAAGATACGTACGCATTTAGTAGGTATTACGAATTATGAATCAGCTGATACATTGACATGTCGGGTGATTCGTCGCTTATTCTGAATAATACGATTTATTATAGCAGTATTTTTAACTATTGCCCAGAAACCGTTTCTTAAATTGAACATTTATGACTTCTGTGACATGCTTTCGAGTAGTGGCATGGTTTTAAATCTACACCTTTTGTATAGGTACCTATACGTATATAATTGCATAATAAAAATTATAAGTTGGCCGGCCGCTGCTCAGACAGTACGCCAATGAGCCGTTCCCAAGAACTCTCAAGCCTTCCAGTATGGCCGTTTGCGTTCAGCAATTTTTTATTTTTTCGGCTTCTAGTCGCAGCCTCTCCATCTCTATTTCGTGTAGGCGCCTGTCTCGCTCTTCTTCAAAAGTAAGACGCCTACGCTCTACAGCACTAAACTGCTCTGCCGCCCTTTCAAAGGGAGTCATTCTCCTCTTAGTTCGGCGAGCAAACCTATTAGCGCTCATTGTAGAGCGTGGAGAGGCCGACGGTTGCCGTCTGCCGTTACGCGCTGGCGGAGTAGGGGGTTGCGACAGTCGTTGTTGCGGGGGTTGCTGTGGTAGTGGTGGTTGCAGCGGTTCTGGCGGTCGCTGGGGTGATAACAGCGACGGCAGTGGCAGTGGTGACGTACGTCCATCGAATATTGGATGCTGTAATAGAGACGTTTAAGGCTTTTATGACATTTTCTCTAAAGGTCTGCTGTTAGACAATGCCTAAGCAAATAATGTCAAACTTAAACAATTTCCTATAGCCAGGTTTTTTACTATTGGCTAGAATTCTTATTCTAAATTGAACATTTTATGATTTCTGTGCTAACCTCTTAGACAAATAAAAGTAGTAACTATAGGTAGGTATGTAAAATAAAATTCTCAACATAAAAATAAATAGGTATGTTTCTAGAGAACTATTAATGGTAGGTACTAACTATTCTGGCTGCTTTGGTTCTCCAACATTTCAGCAAAATGCATCGGTTCCGGTGGCTGTTCATTAAAATTTGGAACCTTAAAAACAAGAAATGGTTTAAATAATTCAAGTTATTTCACTTGATGTATTCTTGCTCACAGGAAAGAAGGATTTCTTACTATCATACAACTACATCTAACCTAATTTCGTAGGTGTTTCTTTCTGAAAGCATCATACCTATAGATACTTTATAATGATATCATTATCATCATCACCATCAACCTGTGACAGTCCGTGGCTATAATATTAGCCTTCTCTGCATAAGAGAGCTTTTTTAAGTTTTATATATCTCTATTAGGTAGTAGAAATTAGTGACTACATATAACAAGTAATAAATATTTACAAAAAATTTAAACTAACATTAAATCCTTGCTCCTGGATGCCAGCCAAACCAACTACAGCAGACACTCCAATAACTGCCATCACCCTTTCTTCTATGGCAGTTAATTGAATGTGTGTGTTTGGACCACCACCTGTGCCACTGCTTTGCTGCCTTATATGCAAATATTTTCTTTTTGTTTTTGTTTTCCAGTCTGTCCAGACCTAAATAAAAGCAAACATTTAGATGTATTACATACTAATATATTACTTATTAATTAGCAATAATTACTCATTAATTGTTATACATAATTACTTGTTTCTTTATTATAATATCGGAATGCCTGAAATACAGCGAGAGGAACTTATGAATTACCTAAACCAGTTTTAACTAAGTTTCTACTTTTCTTTTCCTTTGTGTGTAATGTATATAATATGTTTTGTTTTAGTTTAATATTTTATAGGTTATTATTTTGTGTTTTCAGTAACTGTAATTAGTTTCTAACCATTGTGACGGTGTATTCAAATAAATAATAATGATACAAATACCTAGTGATAATGTAAAACATATGTAAATGGGTGAATTACTTTCTTCCATTTATCTGCTGTTTTCTGGACACCACCACCCATGGAATTTAAAATATTGGTAAGCTCCAGCCAGAGTTGCTCACTATTTATTCGGCCTTGAGGCCCTGGACGCGGCTTTGACAGGTCCCCATGGCTAAATTATAAACCTTTATTATTATTACTATAATATTTGCATGTACCCAGTCATTGTTTGTGACAACATGAGTGGATTTAAGTCACTGTAATACCAATTATACAAGTAATATTACCTTTCCATAAACTGAATCAGCACAGAAAGCTGTTCAAAGCTTGACCTCTGCCTTGCCTGCATTACTAAAATAGAAATTGAAAGAATGTTATGAACTCATCTCCTTAATATTAATTAAGAATTCACTCGTTCAAACTCTGAATTCTATGGATAATTCAATCGTAAATATTTGTAACATAACTATTGGCTTCAGCCTCGAACGCCTTCCAAAGGCCCAGCATCCCGTGGTCCCGAGAATAAAGGTAATCAATCATTATATTTATAAAATTTTATGAAAATAATATGTAGGTAAATACTTACCAATGTTTCTTAAATTTACCGCGAATCACAAATGGTATGTCAAAATGACGCGACGAAAATCGCAACCATAGAGTAAAAACTTGATTTTTAACGCGAAGCGAATAGAGTTAGCGACCCGTCAGCGCTTGTGCATTTGGCTACCAAATTGTTAGCGATGTCGCTAAGGCGCTTGCGTTTGTAGAAAGAGAGTAGACACGGAGCGGGTGGCATTTGGCTAGCACTGCAGGATATCACTTTTGATCGTCAACAACAAAAATTTAGAAGTGAAGCTAGTTGCTCATTCCAAGATGTAGATTCCTATGGAGAAGAACGAGCGAGAAACTCCATAGGTTACTCTTTTTCAATCAGGTTTACAATACAATTCTCTAGTTACATAGTTTTATTGGTTCGATTGTGTGAGAACAATGCAACACCTAATCCAGTCAAAGAGATTGAAAAAGAAAATAACCTTGGGGATAATAAAATGATACAGTCTGGAGCTGACCAGTCCCAATTAACGGTGTCCGTCAGAATAAGAATCAGAATAAGAAACTCCATACTGCTGTCCAAAACTCAAATCGCTGACGTAGGTCATAAAGCAGGTATTTGAGGTTCTTCAAGTGGGGTGTAAATAGGTTTCTTAAGGGTCGACAAGACGCATATAATGCCCAAGTGTTGCAAGCATAGTGTTGTAGGCCACGGTAACCGCTTACCATCAAGTGGACCGTGAACTTTTTTGCCACCGTCGTGGTATAAAAAAGCTGCAAGCTTAAAGTGGAACTAGGCTGGTCATGTCTGCCTCGTGTCAGACGAGCGGTGGGCAATACTCACTACTGTTTACATTTTGTGGAAAAAATAAGAAGAAGTCTGAAAATAAGTCTATTTACTCAGTAGTGTTGTTTTAAATACAACCAGAGTCATAATATCTCTAAGGCAGACTAGACAAGTGCATGGAGCCACAGTATAGAGGGGCGCCACGAGACGCTCATACCCAACTGCCATAGAGGGGCGTCTAACAAAATTAAGGGCGCCTATGACGTGTTTGTCCTATGCCTTTAGCCAAACGCCACTTTAGCGCTTGTCTACAGAGAGAGTAGAAATCAAAATGTATGGGGATGGCACTGACAAGTGTCAAAATTTACGTCAATTCCATATAATAGGGTAGTTTCCTAAATTTTAATAATGTCCCTCTGGTAGATTAATTTAAAACTTTAGACACGTCTTTTTTAATTTCTCACAAAATTAAATACTTTCGATGATATATTAATTTGAAATATCGTGTGATGTCACAGCGTGCACATTTTGTAGCACGTTATGACGTAACGACCTCCCACTCCTAAACTTAGCGCCATTTTATCTAAGTATTGCAACTTAAAACGAAAAAGTAAAAAAATACGTTTCTAATATTTTTTCATTATCTAACTGACGGACTAATTAGATTTTTAATTTTGATACCCTTGCAACTACCCAATTTGATATTCTACTCTATATGTAGACAAGCGCTAAATGGCATTTTGGTATAGCTGTAGGGCGCTCTCCGGGTATATTCTACCTCTAACTGAAACCACTGGTTACATCTTCTGGTAATGGTATAACTTAAAACTCACATGCAGTTGGGGACAGCACAGTTGATCTGTCTTAGCAACTCTTGGGTCACATCTGTAGTGGTTCCCATTTCTAAAAAAAATATAGATTAACTTTAATTAATTGTACCTACTCATATTTTTTTTTATAAGAAAATACGGTGCCCCACACTAGGATTTTCTCCTGGGTAGTGGGTGCGTTTACAAACATACATATAATATTACATACACATGACACCCAGACCCAAAACAACAATTTGTGGATCACACAAAGAGTTGCTCCGTGCGGGAATCGAACCCGCGCTAACCGTGCAGTCAAACTCATCATCTACAATCAATCTTTACTGCCTAACTGCCTTGTTGGCCGATTGGTCGCAAGTGCGCATGCTGGGCAAGGGGTCTCGGTTTCAATTCCAAGGTCAGGCAAAATAGTAGTAGCATGGAGTCTGGAATTGTGCCCGGTATTATGGCAATAAGCTCAACCCCTATTACATGGACCTCATAAACGGTTTCAATGAGCTTAATTCTACCAATCAAGCCCTTTCGTTTGGTATCCATAATGGAGGTAGTGTAGAAAAAATAGATTATAATATTGGACGGACTTCGCTTACCACCCGGCGAGATAGTGGACCAACGTCGGCTCAGATCAGATATAAAAAAGAGTGTGTACCAAATATCAGATCGATCTGTCGTCAGGAAGGGAGTAAAATAGGGTAGATGCCTAATTTTTATTTCAATGTCCGTCTTGTAGATTATTTTAAATCATTAGACACGTATTTTTTTTCTTACAGAAACCAATACTTTCGACGATATATTGATTTGAAATGTCGCGTGACGTCACTTCTATGTACATTTTATACGTAGAAATGACGTTTTAGCCCCCACTCCTAAACTTTGATTCGTTTTATCTAAGTGTTGTTTTATTATACGACAAAATAAAAAAATACGTGTCTAATATTTTTTCATTATCTAACTGACGGACTAATTAGATTTTGAATTTTCATACCCTGTCATCATTCCAATTCCAATTACTGAATTTGACTCAAACAAACAAACGGGGCAAGCTAAATAAAACCGTTTCGATTATAAAATACCTGTGCTATACTTCTGTATTGGACACGGAACAACAGGCTGCACACAATAACAGTTCTAAAACAAATTGAAATAAAGTTGAAAATGGGTTAGCAACTAAAATAAGGTATTTTATAAAGTTTAGTATGAGTACAGTCAAAGGTCAAAAGTCCACTGCCACCGTGAGTGATGTTCACACGGCAATGCGTAAGTAATTTCATATTAATGCGCATAAAACCACACGCACGCGTACGCACACGGATAAAAATATGCGTGTGCATGTGTGTATAAGCGCTGCAGCGCAACCGATAGTAGTCTTTGGTCTTACGGTGGCAGTGGACTTTTGACCTTACATCGTGGTATATAGATGGCATTGTAATCAAGTAAGGTCCTCCACTACTAGGACAACAGATTTCTTACCTCTTCATGCACTATTCTTTCACCATAAAAAGGATCCATAGTCATTGCTGCTTTGCTGAAAAATACAATTTCATGAATGAGTAAACAAATATAACATCACGCCTTTTATCCCCGAAGAGGTTTTTTTTAAGGGGGAAAGTCATCAATGACTGCTCCCACCTGGGTGAGGCGGGAGGGAGTGTCAGACTCTTACTGACTAAAAACCACCCCGTTCCTTCTCCTGCACGTCGAGCCGGAGCCCTGGTTACCCGTTAGGTTCTCCGCGACTGTCCCCGAAGGGGTAGGCTATAAATAGTTAAAGGTGGGTGTTACTTCTACACTACAATACCAAATATTCCTTTTATTCATCTTTCACTCTTAATTACCTGGTCTTCTTAGGTTTTTTTTCCTCTACATCATCAGACATGGTGGTAATGGAACCAGCAAGTCGAGCTAGTTCGATGACTCCATCTCTGCTCCCGTCTCGTCTCCTCTCCTGGGCTCTTATTCTATCTCGCCTGGAGTAGATTATAAGTATCATCAACATCTGTATAGCCCGTGATAGTACACTTCTGGACCCTCCTCTACATAACTAAAAGGGGTTTGCCGTAATCTCCACGCTTAACAGGCGGAACAAGAAGGTTCGGGTTTATCAGAGAGCGCTGATGATACCCGATTTCTGTTAAATCGACTCTTGGGCCGTGCGCTGTGTTAAGGACATTCCACATTTTGGACGGCGCGCCGGCCGCGAGGTGAAACCTTTTAATGCTACATTTACACTATCACGCGAGTCGCGACGAGGCCGAGATACATTGTCGTTATTTTGAGAGTTGTAGGCTTTCTCACATTATAAGAATGCAATGTACCTCAACCTCGTGTCGAGAGTGTAAATGTAGCATTAAAATACCTACCTACGATGCGACGTTGTTTCGCTAGCTCGCCGTCAACTCGCCGACGCCTCGCCGACGCCGTGCCGGCGACGCGTCGTGACTACACCACGAGTGGACCGCGCGCTGACCGACCGCCGTCGGCTTTTGTACTGCGTTACGAATTGTATCATATACATATAAGATTTAAAGTTCATATTTATATGACAACTAATAGCTAGGTGGGAGCCGTGCTTTTTTAAATGTGGAATGTCCTTTAAGCGTGCGCACGGCCTTAATGCCTTGTTTTAGTTTGACGCTGATGGCGCGCGCATCGTCGCGCTGACGGCCGATAAATATGAACTTCTAGATAGCGGTTTGATTGACGCGTAGCTGTCTCCATATCTCGGCTATCAGCTGACAGTGCGCGTACTGCCGTGAGACTAAAATCAGCCTAAGACATTCACGAGAAGTGTAGCAATGGTGGTAATAGTACCAGATACTACTGTAACCAGAAGACATAGTCTAACTCATTTATCGAATAAGCATTTAACTCGTCGAGTACCGTATTTATAGACACAATTAAAGAACAATAGGTTGCGGTCACCGGTGACAGCTTGGTGTTTGACAGTTTAAAGCCTCTGAAGTCGAAAGAATATGCTATCTTCTCCTTACCGTTTGTATTTAGCTGTGGTTCTTCTCCCTCTACCACCATGCGAGGTTTTAGTTTTACGAGCAGTGGAACACCCCTGAAAGATCCTCTGTGCACAGCCGGAGCAGAATATCACACCTTTGAACACTTCTGCGTTCAGAAGATCAGTCTCACTGCAGACATCTAGAGGGAATGTGGAGATTGTGAAAGAAGGGCTTAAAAATAGGGCGTAAATGAAGCCGGGTTGTGAAGACGTCTTTATAAAGGACCGCCAGGGAAACCACCAATAATGCAAAGCAGTTATAACTTCATTAAAGAAAGGAATCTAAAATGGCGGTGCTTATCATGTTTTCTCGCTTGCACACTAGTGCCGTCTATACTCACTCTCGCGCGTACCGTAGACATAAAAATAATCCCGGTGAAGGACCGTCTCATAAATGGTATTAATAAATGAGTTAAAAGTAATATTCGTTCTTTATTTATACCACCAAAATCATAATAAAGATCCTCAAAAGTGTTTTTCAAATCTTCAACTGGTTAGAAATAAATACGACCCGATCATGTTTTTATTATTTCTATTTTGAAAAAAATATTCGACTTGAAATTTTATATGCTAACTGTACTACTTGTCAACGCAAGTACAAGCCGCCATTTAAGATTCCTTTCTTTAATGAAGTTATAACTGCTTTGCATTATTGGTGGTTTCCCTGGCGGTCCTTTATAAAGACGTCTTCACAACCCGGCTTCATTTACGCCCTATTTTTAAGCCCTTCTTTCACAATCTCCACATTCCCTCTAGATGTCTGCAGTGAGACTGATCTTCTGAACGCAGAAGTGTTCAAAGGTGTGATATTCTGCTCCGGCTGTGCACAGAGGATCTTTCAGGGGTGTTCCACTGCTCGTAAAACTAAAACCTCGCATGGTGGTAGAGGGAGAAGAACCACAGCTAAATACAAACGGTAAGGAGAAGATAGCATATTCTTTCGACTTCAGAGGCTTTAAACTGTCAAACACCAAGCTGTCACCGGTGACCGCAACCTATTGTTCTTTAATTGTGTCTATAAATACGGTACTCGACGAGTTAAATGCTTATTCGATAAATGAGTTAGACTATGTCTTCTGGTTACAGTAGTATCTGGTACTATTACCACCATTGCTACACTTCTCGTGAATGTCTTAGGCTGATTTTAGTCTCACCGGCAGTACGCGCACTGTCAGCGCTGATAGCCGAGATATGGAGACAGCTACGCGTCAATCAAAACCGCTATCTAGAAGTTCATATTTATCGGCCGTCAGCGCCGACGATGCGCGCGCCATCAGCGTCAAACTAAAACAAGGCATTAAGGCCGTGCGCACGCTTAAAGGACATTCCACATTTAAAAAAGCACGGCTCCCACCTAGCTATTAAGTTGTCATATAAATATGAACTTTAAATCTTATATGTATATGATACAATTCGTAACGCAGTACAAAAGCCGACGGCGGTCGGTCAGCGCGCGGTCCACTCGTGGTGTAGTCACGACGCGTCGCCGGCACGGCGTCGGCGAGGCGTCGGCGAGTTGACGGCGAGCTAGCGAAACAACGTCGCATCGTAGGTAGGTATTTTAATGCTACATTTACACTCTCGACACGAGGTTGAGGTACATTGCATTCTTATAATGTGAGAAAGCCTACAACTCTCAAAATAACGACAATGTATCTCGGCCTCGTCGCGACTCGCGTGATAGTGTAAATGTAGCATTAAAAGGTTTCACCTCGCGGCCGGCGCGCCGTCCAAAATGTGGAATGTCCTTAACACAGCGCACGGCCCAAGAGTCGATTTAACAGAAATCGGGTATCATCAGCGCTCTCTGATAAACCCGAACCTTCTTGTTCCGCCTGTTAAGCGTGGAGATTACGGCAAACCCCTTTTAGTTATGTAGAGGAGGGTCCAGAAGTGTACTATCACGGGCTATACAGATGTTGATGATACTTATAATCTACTCCAGGCGAGATAGAATAAGAGCCCAGGAGAGGAGACGAGACGGGAGCAGAGATGGAGTCATCGAACTAGCTCGACTTGCTGGTTCCATTACCACCATGTCTGATGATGTAGAGGAAAAAAAACCTAAGAAGACCAGGTAATTAAGAGTGAAAGATGAATAAAAGGAATATTTGGTATTGTAGTGTAGAAGTAACACCCACCTTTAACTATTTATAGCCTACCCCTTCGGGGACAGTCGCGGAGAACCTAACGGGTAACCAGGGCTCCGGCTCGACGTGCAGGAGAAGGAACGGGGTGGTTTTTAGTCAGTAAGAGTCTGACACTCCCTCCCGCCTCACCCAGGTGGGAGCAGTCATTTGATGACTTTCCCCCCTTAAAAAAAACCTCTTCGGGGATAAAAGGCGTGATGTTATATTATGTTTACTCATTCATGAAATTGTATTTTTCAGCAAAGCAGCAATGACTATGGATCCTTTTTATGGTGAAAGAATAGTGCATGAAGAGGTAAGAAATCTGTTGTCCTAGTAGTGGAGGACCTTACTTGATTACAATGCCATCTATATACCACGATGTAAGGTCAAAAGTCCACTGCCACCGTAAGACCAAAGACTACTATCGGTTGCGCTGCAGCGCTTATACACATGCACACGCATATTTTTATCGTGTGCGTACGCGTGCGTGTGGTTTTATGCGCATTAATATGAAATTACTTACGCATTGCCGTGTGAACATCACTCACGGTGGCAGTGGACTTTTGACCTTTGACTGTACTCATACTAAACTTTATAAAATACCTTATTTTAGTTGCTAACCCATTTTCAACTTTATTTCAATTTGTTTTAGAACTGTTATTGTGTGCAGCCTGTTGCTGCGTTCAGAAGATCAGTCTCACTGCAGACATCTAGAGGGAATGTGGAGATTGTGAAAGAAGGGCTTAAAAATAGGGCGTAAATGAAGCCGGGTTGTGAAGACGTCTTTATAAAGGACCGCCAGGGAAACCACCAATAATGCAAAGCAGTTATAACTTCATTAAAGAAAGGAATCTAAAATGGCGGTGCTTATCATGTTTTCTCGCTTGCACACTAGTGCCGTCTATACTCACTCTCGCGCGTACCGTAGACATAAAAATAATCCCGGTGAAGGACCGTCTCATAAATGGTATTAATAAATGAGTTAAAAGTAATATTCGTTCTTTATTTATACCACCAAAATCATAATAAAGATCCTCAAAAGTGTTTTTCAAATCTTCAACTGGTTAGAAATAAATACGACCCGATCATGTTTTTATTATTTCTATTTTGAAAAAAATATTCGACTTGAAATTTTATATGCTAACTGTACTACTTGTCAACGCAAGTACAAGCCGCCATTTAAGATTCCTTTCTTTAATGCATCGGCTTATACTGTGTGTAGCCTTTGTATGAATCAGCAGAAGTTTACGTCGCTGATCACATCTTTAGGTGGTCGCAAGTGCGACTGCCGGGCAAGGGGTCTCGTGTCCGATTCCGGATCAGACAAAGTATTATAATACGGATGACAGAAGTATTCTTACAGCATTTATGGCACTTCTTGTGGTAACTGTATCCTTGACGCATGACCATCCTCTCGTTGCTGCATAGGGGACTCTGACAATGTTCGCATATCTCGCAACTGCAGTGAATATGAAGAAGATCAGTTTAATGTTGAACTTCATGATAGAACTAGCATATTCCTTTCTGCTGGCCGTAATTTATTTGTCGAGTTCCTCGTCAAATAAATTACGTGAGTAAGCCGAAAACATAATAATATATTCTAATTATAAGTTTGAAATCGTCAACACGCTATGAGCAATGGCACTGATTACTGCTCAAACCTTCTCCGTGTGAGAAGAGGCCTTTGGTCATCAGTGGGCACTTGTATGATGTTGATGATGATGATAATGATGAACAAAAGTAGGTACTTACGCCATTACGAATTTTGCAATTTTTTTCAAACAATTTCTACATTTTTCAGTACAAAATAGCTAAACGGAGAATTTGGTTGTTTTTAATTTTTATTTTATTCAT